CTGGACCCCAGGTGAGAAATCCAATCAGCTATGCCAAATGTAGGGAGGCTGGGTGGATTTAAATTGAGTGTGTGTGTGTTAGTGAGAGTGTGTTAGTGAATGTCAGTGAATGTGTGTGTCAGTGAATTTGAGTGACTGTGTGTGTCTGTCAGTGAATGTGTATGTGTCGGTCAGTCAGTGCGTGCGTGTGTCTGTCAGTCAGTGCGTGCGTCTGTCAGTCAGTGTGTATGTCAGTCAGTCAGTGTGTATGTGTCAGTCAGTGAGTCTGTCAGTGAGTGTGTGTCCACGTAAGTGTATGTCTGTCTATCCGTGTGTCAAATCAGTGAGTGTGTGTATGTCATTGTTTGTCAGTGTATATGAGAGTTTATGTCTGTCAACGAGTGTATGCATCTATCAGTGAGTGTGCGTCTGTCAGTCAAAGTGCGGCCTTGACAGGAAGGGGTGGGGAAAATGTAATTTAGGGTGGGGTGCCCGAGCCCCGTTTTTTCCCTTGGGCAGCACAAAACCTAAATACACCACTGCTGCTACCGACTGGTAAGCCCATCCCTTTCTTTCCCTTATAGTGACCCTCAAAACGTGCAACATTGAATCAGTTCTTCTTAGCCAGGCCCATATCATTAGAGTGCAGCAGTCATGCTCCCCCTTCCCCATTGTCCAGAGGAATGTCTCTAGGGCGGCTCCTGATTCCAATCATTGTAGGATAAGACATCTGAATTAACAGAGAGAGGTAATTGCTGATATTTAGTACTAAATATGCACAAGACTGTATAGAGGGAGTTAAAATAGTAAAAGAAGCAAAAATAATAAAACAGTAAAATATCAAATTTGACAGATTTTAAGAGAGCTGGGAACATTTATCTGAGTGGCAGTTCACTATGTGCAATCTCATCCTCCCCCTTTCTTCCATTCTTTAAAACACTATTCTTACACTTGGACCTAGTAGTACATGTTAACATTCTAATACAGGGTATTAACTTTGTTACCAAGAAAAAACTATTGGCACACAATCATATACAAGTCTCTTTTTAGCTACTTCTAATAATAAAAGCAACTTTACTGACTAATTTGTGTATGTACAAATGCAGCACCCAGGGACATAAATGCTAGGAATTTTTTTTTGATATTTGGATTGGAGAGGAACTGAAATCTGTATTAAAAATAGGAGATCATTCCCCATTTTCATTTCCCTTTAAGTAGTGTTCTGGAAAGGAATATCTGCAATTCAGAGATAATTTCAAATAGAGTGTATTCAGCCAACTAGCAGAATGGGCTAAGTAACGTTCTTCACACAGAAAGAATCTTTATCAATGCTAGACAAAAAAAAAAAAACCTTGTGTGCCTAAACATCTCTATCTTAGAAGGAGAGAAAGATGTTTCTAGATAAGTATATCTATTAATCTATACATTTTTGGCAGCTGCACAATCACAGTGTGTGGCTTTAATGTATATCAATCTACCTGAAGGTACAGTTGCCATCTTGTATATATTGTAACATCCATCTCTAGCAGTGTTTCATAACCTTTATTGACAAATGATGTACGTTGCATTAGCTTTGTGACTCATTATTCAATTTGAATAAGGTGTCTAAAATCCCACCTCCAAAGTGTCCCTATTAAGGAGGGATAGTCCCTATTTTGGGGCCAAAATCCTTCAGACCCTCTTTTCTGTCCTAATGTGTCTCTTTTTTAGGAGCTCCATTTTGTTGGTGTGTCTGAATGTACGTCAGAGATACTCAGCAACAAAGCTCACAGTAAAGTGTCGTAAACTACAATAAATGTGTCTTGTTCTCAATTACATTTTAGCTGAGTATATTACTAATAACAATTTATGCAACTAAAATGTATCTTAGAACAAGAAAAATTGCAAAGTAGAGCTAATTATGGGTCATTTCAAAACCTCTACAGAAAAATGGAGTATAGCCCCCATCTGAGAAACAAAAATAAAATGATTGCTGATGATACTGAAACAGTCAATAGAAGTTAACTTATGTTAGAAAAGAGTTAAAAATTCACAAATAATAATTTCTCCTATAGAGAATCCCAAGGTTTTATTAAAAGTAAAAGCATTCAACTGTATAAACTACTGTGTATCACTTTGTATCATTTAAACAGTGATCAATCTCAAGAGTCATCCTCTGCTATACTTAATAAAAATTAACAAATCTGAGTGATTTAGAAAGAATGTAACAAATTAATAATTAGGCCATATATATACAAAGTTTCACTCCCGAATGAGGAGAAGAAGGGGGCACTGGACAGAAAAACCAATACTATGCAGTGTTAGCAACTATAATCAGATAGTGCGGGGCAATAACATACATTATGTTTTATAAATATACATATATGCCAAAGCAATGAAGACCTGGTATGTACAAAAAAATGATCAAGACTGTAAAGCTACCCAGTGTAGTAAAAATGAACCCAAGTAATCCACAATGTGTCCCTAGAAACCATCATTACAGAATTCTATTCCTAATATCAGATTTGATTCCGTGCATGAGAGGGCACCTATCCACTAAACTGTGCGTTTTAAAGTAGGCTATGCTTCTAAGGGCACTTGTCAAAACGGAATAACTAAGGTGAGAGAACACACAAGATGGATATATCAATAATAATCTCTATCAGGCCAGAAGACAGAGTGATGAAGCCACCAGAAATTTTTGGGCCCCTAACAGAACAAATGGTCTGGGCCCCTCATTGACAGCCACTCGAGGCGCTTCCGTGCTTCTCACTGTGATTTTCACAGTGAGAAGACGCCAGTGTCCATAGGAAAGCATTGATAATGCTTTCCTATGGACTGGCTGAATGCGCGCGCGGCTCATGCTGCGCATGCGCATACAGCCGATGACGGGGAAAGAAGGAGGAGAGTCCCCAGCGCCGAGGGAGCCCGGTGCTGGAAAAAAGGTAAGGGATAAACCCCTTCCTCTCCATTCAGCCCAGCGGGAGTGGGACCCTGAGGGTGGGGGCACCCTCAGGGCACTAGAGTGCCAGGAAAACGAGTATGTTTTCTTGGCACTATAGTGGTCCTTTAAGGGTAGTGAGAGTTGGCACCCAGACCACTCCAATGGGCAGAAGTGGTCTGGGTACCTGGAGTATCCCTTTAAGGAGGATTATTGTAACAAGTTCAGTGTGACATGGTTGAAGTGTGAATCAGTGAGTGTGACAGCATTTGGTGCTAGTGTGGCATGGTTGGAGGAGGGAGTGTGACAAGACGAGGGGAGAGTGACACGATTGAGGGGTTAACATGACACAGTGAGTGTGGCAGAGCGAGGGGGGTTGAGTGTGACAAGATTGGATGTATTAATGTGATAGAGTGAGTGTGGCAACGTTGTTGGAGGGGAGTGTGATACAGGATTAGCAGGGATAGATGTGAGTGTGGCATGGTAAAGGGGATGACTTTGTGTGGGGGTGACAGTAAGTGGGGGGAGGTGTGGGTGGCAGTGAGTAGGGGAGGGAAGGTGGCATTAGGGGGGAGGGTGGCAGTGATGGGGGGATGTGAGGGTGGCAGTGAGAGGAGGATGGCAGGAGGATGGCAGTGAGTGTGGGGAGGTGTGGGTGGCAGTGAGTGTGGGGAGGGTGGCATTGAGTGGGGGAGGGTGGCAGTGATGGGGAGATGTGAGGGTGGCAGTGAGTGGGGGGTGGGTGGCAGTGGGGAGAGGAGGATGGGCAGTGAGTGGGGTGAGGTGTGGTTGGCAGTGAGTGAGGGGAGGGAGGGTGGCATTGAGTGGGGGGTGGCAGTGATGGGGATGTGAGGGTGGCAGTAAGTGGGGGAGGTGTGGGTGGCAGTGAGTGGGGGAGGGGAGGATGGCAGTGAGTGGGGGAGAGGAAGGTGACAATGATGGGAAATGTGAGGTGGCAGTGGGGGGGGAGGATGGCACTGAGTGGGGGAGGTGTGGGTGGGAGGGTGGCAGTGAGTGGGGAGGAGGATAGTAGTGAGTGTGGGAGGGGTTAATATGACACGGTGAGCGAGGGGGGTTGAGTGTGACAGGATTGGGTGTATTAATGTGATAGAGTGAGTGTGGCAACGTTGTTGGAGGGGAGTGTGATACAGGATTAGAAGGGATAGATGCGAGTGTGGCATGGTAAAGGGGATGACTTTGTGTGGGGGTGAGGGTGACAGTAATTGGGGGGAGGTGTGGGTGGCAGTGAGCCATTAACTTACCTCTTGAGTGAAGTCCCGACTCCCTGTCCATGGTGATCCAGTTATCTCTTCTTTCTTGCATCCTGGTGGTCCGGTGGCATTGGCCCTTGCACTCCTGTCTGCAGCTACGCCTCCACGGGTACAGAGGTGCAGTCAGACCATGTGGAGATTGTCTCGCGAGCTCTGACACTTGGAGTCTCAGAGCATTGCCATGGTAACCCGCGGCAATGCTCTGGTTGGCTGAGCTCGCTGACAATCATGGTCTGCAGCTCTGTACCCGTGGAGGCGGAGCTGCAGACAGGAGTAACAGGGATTTGTGCACTGCTCTCTCTCGGTGGCCTGACCTAATTGCTGAGCACTCTTACAGGGGGCCCAGCATCCAGCGGCACAGAGGCTAAGCCGCTGGGTCCCCCCCTACTGTCGGGCCTGCCCGACAAATCAGTCTGTCATCTCGAGTCCCGGCCTGCTCTAGCAATCCGGCCGCGGGCTGGGCCCCCCAGGACCACCGGGCTTGTGACAATTGTCACGGTTGTTATGCCCTGATGGCGGCCCTGATCTCTATGATCAAGCTATCAAATATTGCATTCATGTGGGTGCACTGCAAGATTAAGCTAGTACCATGAATTAAGCTATTAGATCCTGTAATAATTACATAAGAGAAAGGAATGTTATAAAAATGTCTGCTACAATCCTATATATATATATATATATAAATATACATATATATATATATATATATATATATATATATATATATATATATATATATATATATATATATATATATATATATATATATATACACATACAGTCAGGTCCATAAATATTGGGACATTGACACAATTCTAATCTTTTTGGCTCTAAACACCAACACAATGGGTTTGAAATGAAACAAACAAGATGTGCTTTAACTGCAGACTTTCAGCTTTAATTTGAGGGTATTTACATCCAAATCAGGTGAACGGTGTAGGAAATACAACAGTTTGTATATGTGCCTCCCACTTTTTAAGGGACCAAAAGCAATGGGACAATTGGCTTCTCAGCTGTTCCATGGCCAGGTGTGTGTTATTCCCTCATTTTCCCATTTAGCAATTGTTGCTGCCTATCAATCTGGGAAGGGTTTTAAGGCCATTTTCAAACAATTTAAAGCCCATCATTATACAATCAGAAAGATTATTTAAAAGTTACCAATCTTCCCAGGAGTGTACGTCCAAGCTTCATCACAAGATCAGACCATGCAATGCTCAGAGAAATTGCAAAAAAAACCCCAAAAAACTAAACTCAAGAGTTGCCTCTCACTCTCTACAGGCCTCAGCATGTGAAAGTTTAGGACAGTACAATTAGAAAAATACTGAACAATTATGGTTTGTTTGGAAGGGTTGCCAGGAGAAAAAAACTCATCTCTCTAAAAAGAAAATGGCAGCACAGCACCTCCCTCGGGGCTCCCCTCCCGCAGGACTGAAGGGGTTAAAACCCCTTCAGCCACTTTCCTGAATTCAGTGCTGGGTGAGGCTCCGCCCATGCTACTCCCCCACCGGGAGACCTACTGAGTATGCACACAATGGCCGTGTGCGCGTTAGACCTCCCCATAGGAAAGCATTATTCAATGCTTTCCTATGGGGAAAATCTGACGCTGGAGATCCGTGAGGACGTGCAGCATCAGATAACGGACCAAAAGACAGCCACAGAGGGCAGACTTGGAGCTGCAATGTAAACATTGCAGTTTTCTTGAACTGCAATGTTTTACATTGAAGCACTAAGAGCAAAAGGGACACTGCACCCAGACTACTTCAATGAGCTGAAGTGGTCTGGGTGCCTACACTGTCCGTTTAAGCTTGGGCGAAATTGGGTCATTCATCAGGACAATGATTCCAAGCACACTAGCAAATCTACAACTGAATGCCTGAAAAAGAAAGGAATCAAGGTGTTTTTTTTTTTTACTGATTGAAATGCTGTGGTGGGACCATAAAAAAATGCCAGCAAACCTCAATGAACTGAAGTAACGTTGTAAAGAAGAGTGGGCCAAAATATATACTCTAGCAATCAAATACACAATGATCATATTTTGCATTTCTACTTTAATCTGTGCGGGACTAGTACAATTCAGGCTTCTGGTATCATATATACAAGTTGCTACAGTCATTGTATATTGCAACATTTGTACCTATTTTCCTGTCACACTTTCCAGTGATTTGTCCAGCCTTATTTATTAGTAATCATAACTCTATACCTATAGCCAGACATTGACACTTTTCTTTAGTCTGTCTGCAGTGACATTCTTATCAATGATAACCAGTTTAATACTTTATCTCTCCTTAGTCCCTCTATGTGTATATGAGAGTAAGCTTTTATTACACATTAACTACTGATATTTTGTGATTAAAAGTTATGTTTTTAACTCTCTCTATTTAGGACAGTGTTCTCATATTCCTAATCACTGCCCTATAGATTCTTTCTATATCAGGGTTCCACTCTGTTCATTTTCTATTTTGCTTTTCTGATCACTTTGTTGCAATCATGCTTCTCCTCCTGCAGGGACTTTTCTATAACATTTAATGGCCACATTGTTTCTAATTTTAGTCTCAAACTCCAGCAGTTTGCCCATGTGAGCCAATTGATTCAATTCTATAAACCTTCTACTTTAATCATCAATCATATCCTCTGGCGGTTTATATGTTATCACATATTTAGTATCCCCTGCCCCCCCCCCCCGGTTAGTTAGTTAGTTAGTTAGTAGCTGTGTCCCGTGGTGCCGGAAGTCCTAATTCCCACACTCTCGCTAATGTCCCTGCTGTGGGTCTCTGTGATGCCCTGAGATGCTGATACCATAGAGTCGCGCAGACAGTCCCCCTCTGTGGCCTGACGCGGCAGCTTTCTATCTCGGCCACTCTATGGTAACTCAGCCCTGGCCGTGGCCAATCAGAGTCCCGCGGGGCGGGGCGGTGCAGCGGAGTGGGCGTGTCGTGGTGACGTAGTTCCAGGAGTTGTGTCTGGCTGGGAGCCGGAGCTGTGGGCGCTGCACGCCGGGCTGGGAGCGGACTGAGAGCCAGCTGACTGGCAGCGGCGGCCGGGACTCCTCAGGCTTCTCCCTGCAGCCGGACCCCAGGCTCCCCGAGCCCAGCTCCCTCCCTCCCGGCTGGCTGGCTGGCCGTGTGATGGAAGCGGACAGGATGGACGAGAATGAATGGAGCTATCACGGAGAGGGGAACAAAAGCCTGGTGGTGTGTCACACGCAGGTACGGGGGCCGGCAGGGCCAGCCGGGGGGGGGAATAGCGGGCGGAACGTTGGCTGGGGGCTGGCACGGAGGGCGGAAGGAGACACACACCGCATGGCCATAGCACCTCCTCTGTCACACTGCTGGGGGACAGACAGAGCGCTGGCTGAGGGTGATGGGGAGTGACACCTGGCCAGCTCTGTATCATGCCTCTTGTGATGCTGCAGGTATTGCTGCTGGACCACAACTGCTGCAACTGCATGGGTCTGTGAATGCACATTCCTGAATGCTGGGTCTGTGAATGCACATTCCTGAATGCTGGGTCTGTGAATGCACATTCCTGAATGCTGGGTCTGTGAATGCACATTCCCGAATGCTGGGTCTGTGAATGCACATTCCCGAATGCTGGGTCTGTGAATGCACATTCCCGAATGCTGGGTCTGTGAATGCACATTCCTGAATGCTGGGTCTGTGAATGCACATTCCCGAATGCTGGGTCTGTGAATGCACATTCCCGAATGCTGGGTCTGTGAATGCACATTCCCGAATGCTGGGTCTGTGAATGCACATTCCCGAATGCTGGGTCTGTGAATGCACATTCCTGAATGCTGGGTCTGTGAATGCACATTCCCGAATGCTGGGTCTGTGAATGCACATTCCCGAATGCTGGGTCTGTGAATGCACATTCCCGAATGCTGGGTCTGTGAATGCACATTCCCGAATGCACATTCCTGAATGCTGGGTCTGTGAATGCACATTCCTGAATGCTGGGTCTGTGAATGCACATTCCTGAATGCTGGGTCTGTGAATGCACATTCCTGAACGCACATTCCCGAATGCTGGGTCTGTGGAATGCGCCTTCCCGGGTGCTGGGTCTGTGGAATGCGCCTTCCCGGGTGCTGGGTCTGTGGAATGCGCCTTCCCGGGTGCTGGGTCTGTGGAATGCGCCTTCCCGGGTGCTGGGACTATAATCCTGACCAATGTTTAAAAATTTTTATGTTGTGCATACCTTTTGGGAAAGTGGTTGTGTCCCACTTACTTCTGAGACAGGGAGGGGTTTAGAAACATACCCCTCTCTGTCTTATTAGAGATTTTGGCTTAAAAAAAGCAACGTGAATTGATACTGTAGATCTCATTTAAGAGGGTTTTGTCTTGACGTGGCAGGCGAATTTACACTTTAAAGGCACACTATAGGCATCCAGACCACTTCAGCTAATTGAAGTGGTCTGGGTAGAGTGTCCCTATTGCACTTAGTGCTGCAATGTAAAACATTGCAGTTCCAGAGAAACTACAATGTTTACATTGCAGCACTAGGTCTGCCTCCAGTGGTTGTCTCCCAGGCAGCCACTGGAGGCGCTTCCTGGATCCTAAAGGATCTTTGGTCCGGTATCTGAAGATGGATGTCCTCACGCTCTGCAAAAGGACATCCAGTGTCAGATTTCCTCCCCCCTCTTACATCTCTGGTATAGGTTATTTTTTTTATTAATTTAAAGTTACATTGCCCAATTTTTATATTTTAATGAGATCTTATTCCTGCATAATAATACTTTAATATAGAATTTCGGAAGTAGTTTCCAAGCCTTTTTTCTTTACTTCAGTAGAGCACAAGAGCATCATTTGTGTTATTTGTGACGTGTGTGTTTTGACAAGGCAGGTTTTGATGTTTTGTCTTTAATATGGACTTTCCCAAAACTTCATGTTTTACCAGCACAGTTTTGCTGGAAAATATATTATCATGTGTTACAATAAATGACAAACTGCATTTTTGCTTTCAGTATTTAGTGTTTTGCTGCTTACAGCACTGTAGCTTTTTGTATTTAAATTTTTGTAAATAAAAATATAAATAAAAAAGTAATAATGCGTAGTCATAGGCAGAATTATTTATATAATATATATATATATATATATATATATATATATATATTATATTAAACCCCCCCAGAAATAAGCAATACTCTCTTGGGTGAGAGCACTGGTATTCAGTAGCCCAAATACATAAAGCAAAACCAAAAAAAGTTACCAGCACACAATCCCAAATTAAAAGAGGTTTATGGTATGACTGCAATGACCAATAAAGTGTAAGCTCACCTGCTCTTGTCTAGGCAAACCTCTTAGTTGAGTCCTACACTAATAATTCATGTTGCTGCTTTGAGCTAAAAGGCAGTATTTCTAATGAGACAGAAAGGGGTATTCAAATGAACTCCTACAAACTAACCATTAATAGGGCACACGGAATGTAGTATAGCACTGTAAATAGTACTATGTAATACAAAAACAAATAAGCCATGTGTTCAAACTCACATTGCAATGGTACTAAAAAGACGAAGATATAAGGAGATTCTGATCGGTGCAGGGCAGTGTTTTGATGCACATATGCAGTAGCTCCCCATAGCTTTCCTATGGAAAAGCATTGGATTGGATGAGATTGTCAAGATTGATGATCTCAGCCATGGAGGCACGGCAAGCGGTAGCGAGACCTATGTGGTGAAGTACGTTTAAAAACCTTCTATCCCAAATCTGAGGAAGCCGGTGACCTAAATAGCTAGTCTAACGCTATAGTGTAACTCTCAGTTAGGAAGTGGCTGAAATACCTTGGTATTACCAGGTAATCCCTGGTCTTCTATGTAAACCAATTGCACTACTGTTATAAGAAAGAATATGTGCTTGCAACATAACTGCATTTGGTAAAGCTTAAATCATGTCAGAAACAGAGTGGTAAATGTAGGAGGAAAAAACTACATTTTGGTTTCTCTGGCTTTACAAACGTACATGCAAAAAAGGACTTGGATTCTTATGCAATGATTCATTCAGTTTTGTAGTCTAGAGCAGATATAGTGTATGCAGTGTCCCTTAATGGAAATGTCAATACTTAATAAACATAGTAATTGTATGTCTGTGCATTGATTGCTGGACTTTGTAGTGCAAAAGGGAGATTCCAAAGCTGCATTAAAGGACCACTATAGTGCAAGGAAGACATACTCATTTTCCTGGCACTATAGTGCTCTGAGGGTGCCCCCACCCTCAGGGTCGCCCTCCCGCCCGGTTATGGGGAGAGGAAAGGGTTAAAACTTACCTTTTTCCAGCGCTGGGCGGGGAGCTCTCCTCCTCTTCTCCGCCTCTGATCCTCCCTTTCGGCTGAATGTGAACGCGCGGCAAGAGCTGCGTGCGCTTTCAGCCGGTCTCATAGGAAAGCATTTACAATGCTTTCCTATGGACGCTTGCGTGTTCTCACTGTGATTTTCACAGTGAGAATCACGCAAGCGCCTTTAGCGGCAGTCAATGAGACAGCCACTAGAGGAGTTTGAGGCTGGTTTAACCCTAATATAAACATAGCAGTTTCTCTGAAACTGCTATGTGTTTAAAAAAAAAAAAAAAAAAAAAGGGGTTAATCCTAGAGGGACATGGCACCCAGACCACTTCATTAAGCTGAAGTGGTCTGGGTGCCTAGAGTGGTCCTTTTTAATAAGAACATTTTTTTTTTTCCTGACTTGTTTTGTTTGTATCATGCAATCTGTGTTTTTACCTTACATGTATGTTTTCTATTAGCACTTACATACTGATATACTTCCTAACTCGGTGGCATGCTCACATTTGTTCTCTATTTACTATATTGCATCTAGATTTACTGTGACAATTTTAGAGTTGGAAAATGGTCATCCACATGACAGAGGGGTTTGAGCCCTCAAATGGAAAGTAAAGGAAAAATGTGGTTGTAGTACTGTCAGTTTAAAATTTAACTTTGATAAAAACCAATGTGAGTTTATTGACATGTATAACAGTAAGTTAAACTGCCATTAATCAATGCAGAAAAACCACTAATAAAAAGTGAAGTAAAAATAAACCAAGAAATGAAGAAATAATTGTAATAATAAATAAAATGTTGGTGTGACATAGTAGGAGGTGGATCGAGCAACTGCAGTGGCCGGATTTTGGTGCTGGAGAATTTTGTATTTTTTTTTTTTCTTTTTTTCTTATTCCAAATTTTTACTTAGATTTGTGGGTTTAAAGGGACACTGTAGGCACCCAGTCCACTTTAGCTAATTGAAGTAGTCTGGGTGCAGTGACCCTATTGCACTTAGGGCTACAATGTAAAACATTGTAGATCCAGAAAACTGTAATGTTTACATAGCTCTAAGTCTGCCCTCTGTGGCTGTCTACTAGAAAGCCACTAGAGGGCTTCCAGAATAGAGATAGACTTTTGGTCCCTTATCTGACCCTGGAAGTCCTCAGGGACCTCCAGCGTCGAATTTTTCCCTATAGGAAAGCATTGAATAATGCTTTCCTTTGGGGAGGTCTAATGTGCGTGTGCCCGGCCATCGCTGTGCATGCGCATTAGGTCTCCCCCGCTGGCTGCTGTCCCCTGTCTGCTATCGGCGGGGAGGAGCATGGGCGGAGCCTTACCCAGCACTGGGGAACATCGACGCTGGATTCAGGTAAGTGGCTGAAAAGGGTTTTAACCTCTTCAGGCCCATGTGAGTCTGGCGCGAGGGAGGGTATGACCTGTTATTCCTATAGTGCCAGGAAAACAGGTTCTCCCGGGTGCTGGGACTGTGGATGCGCGCTCCCGGGTGCTGGGACTGTGGATGCGCGCTCCCGGGTGCTGGGACTGTTAATTTTATCTTTTTGAGATGCACTTCGGTCTTTGTGATATAATCCTGACCAATGTTTAAAAAAATTTATGTTGTGCATACGTTTTGGGAAAGTGGTTGTGTCCCACTTACTTCTGAGACAGGGAGGGGTTTAGAAACATACCCCTCTCTGTCTTATTAGAGATTTTGGCTTTAAAAAAAGCAACGTGAATTGATACTGTAGATCTCATTTAAGAGGGTTTTGTCTTGACGTGGCAGGCAAATTTACACTTTAAAGGCACACTATAGGCATCCAGACCATTTCAGCTAATTGAAGTGGTCTGGGTAGAGTGTCCCTATTGCACTTAGTGCTGCAATGTAAAACATTGCAGTTCCAGAGAAACTACAATGTTTACATTGCAGCACTAGGTCTGCCTCCAGTGGTTGTCTCCCAGGCAGCCACTGGAGGCGCTTCCTGGATCCTAAAGGATCTTTGGTCCGGTATCTGAAGATGGATGTCCTCACGCTCTGCACAAGGACATCCAGTGTCAGATTTCCTCCCCCTCTTACATCTCTGGTTTAGGTTATTTTTTATTAATTTAAAGTTACATTGCCCAATTTTTATATTTTAATGAGATTTTATTGCTGCATAATACTTTAATATAGAATTCCGGAAGTAGTTTCCAAGCCTTTTTTCTTTATTTCAGTAGAGCACAAGAGCATCATTTGTTATTTGTGACGTGTGTGTTTTGACAAGACAGGTTTTGATGTTTTGTCTTTAATATGGACTTTCCCAAAACTTCATATTTTACCAGCACAGTTTTGCTGGAAAATATTTTATCATGTGTTACAATAAATGACAGAAACTGCATTTTTGTATTTAGTGTTTTGCTGCTTACAGCACTGTAGCTTTTTGTATTTACATTTTTGTAAATAAAAATATAAATAAGAAAGTAATAATGCGTAGTCATAGGCAGAATGACTACGAATGTTTGCCTCAGAAAAACAAGCAGTCTGCTGATATAATCAGCAGTGTTGGCCTGATCCAATCACAGTGCTTCCCCATAGGAATGGCTGAGACTGACAAAGAGGCAGACCAGGGGCAGAGCCAGCATGATTCAAACACAACCCTGGCCAATCAGCATCTCCTCATAGAGCTGAATTGAATCAGTGAATCTCTATGAGGAAAGTTCAGTGTCTGCATGCAGAGGGAGGAGACACTGAATGTTTGGATGCATTTTAGGCAGCCATGACCCAGGAAGGATCTCTAACAGACATCTGAGGAGTGGCCAGTGAAGTTATCACTAGGCTGTAATGTAAACACTGCATTTTCTCTGAAAAGTCAGTGTTTACAGCAAAATGTCTGAAGGTAATGATTCTACTCACCAGAACAAATTCAATAAGCTGTAGTTGTTCTGGTGACTATAGTGTCCCATTAATTGCAGAATTGTGTAGAATTTTTTTACTTTTTTCAAAAGATTAAATGTACAAAATATCAGCACCATTTATCGGCAGTTGGCCCGAAAGGCGACTGATAATCTGTGTCGGTATTGGCTTTGGAAAAGTAATATTGATCAACTCCCTTCTTGGAACATATTTTGGGTGTTGGTCTTGCCAAGGGAACTTCACAAAAGATTATGGAATATAAAGGTTTAGGTTAAAAAGAGAAACTCTTGATTTAGGTTAGTTCAGGCTTCATTAGAACATTATAGCAAAGTGTTCTATTGTTTTGAAGCAGAATTATAAAGTGTCATTGGGCAATAAACAAAGATTTAAGCAGCAACAGGACAGATAATGTGTATTTGTGCTGTGAGTCATGTTTGTGGCAAGTTAGGGGAGAGGATTAGATAGTGTTGGGAGGGAAAGTGGGGGTAGCTATTGACTGATGCTAATATGCAGATGATGAAATAGATGCCTGATATGTATAGACATGTGTACAATGTTAATGTTTATGACAAACCACTACTTTAGTTTTGCATTTTAATGTGACTAGTATTCATTACAGGAAGCATTGTGCATTTAACTGGTTCTATACAGCAATTCTTATTACTTTTGACATGATTTGAGTTATGTTATAAATAAATTAGTCTTCAAGTGTAAGTGGTATCACTTTATATAGCACAACATTTACTTTACACTTGCTAGCTGGAGGATTAGTAAATAGGTTATTATCGTGATAATTAAAGGTTATTGAAGTGGATGCTCCAATACCTGTCTGTAGCATCCAATAATGCCTGGCGCAAAAATGATTCTTCTAGCTTACTTGAAGCATTACTTGTTTGTATAAAGAAACTGTGAAAGATGGACGTGTTTTTTTTCGCAGATTCTGAAATTCTAAAGTATGTCAGACAGTCTATTTCAATGGTTGTGAGGAATCACAAGTTAATAGATCTAATGTGCTTATGAAAACTTGGATGATTACGGTTTCTGCGTCCTGGATGCAAACTAGCCGTGTTTACTCGAAACTAATGCGCACCTCAATTTTTGAAACCTCGAAGCTGAAAAAAAAATTTTCACTGACGAATGTGATTGTAATTATTATTATATTTTTATTATTTATATAGCACCAGCAAATTCCATAGGGCTGTACAATGGTATGCACATTTTGTACAAGAGGATCCTACTGTACAACGTGCATTGTTTTTTGTTAATTTTTATAATAGTTCCTTATAACTCAAATAGCCCCTCACTTTATGACAGTTCTGTTCCTACAACAGTTCTGTTCCTTAAGCAAGGACCACCCTCTTTCCCGGGCGAAATTAGCCTGTGTGAAATTTGCTGACTAAATTCAAAATTTACTGTCAAATTTTGAATTACGCCAGTGACTTTATGCGCATCTAATGCGTCATTGGATCTTATGTGCATTCAAATTTCGGAAACTTTATTTGCCCAATAAAAGTGCAAATTAGATTTGAACCTGGTAATATTTGTGAAATCTGTCATTATCTTTTGTTAAGATGGGAAATCCATTTCTACAACTGTAATACATATGTCCATATATCCTGAATTCTGTGACTGTCTTTTGGGGACACTGAAATAAACTTTTTAGTTTGTCTTCAATGGTGGGTTTTTAGTGGTTTTCCTATCAAAGAAAAGATACATGATTCTTTGACTTTCACCATTAATTTGATGAGCGTATATTTTTATATATATATATATATTACACACTAATTTTTACATTTGTTTTGTATTTTTTTTTTTTTTTCTGTAAGCGATCAGTGCTTTTAAACACATCTTGCATTTTCATTTTCCTCCTGTTGTCTCTGGAAGCAGTACTGCATGATACTCTTTACTGAAATTTTTTTCTTAATCTTATTAAAAGATTATTTCTGTTGGAATAATTTCATAGAATGTGTCCATAACAAAGTTAATTTACTAAAGGTAGATGAGAGCTGCAGCACTGCTGAGATACCCAAGCAGACGAAGACCTCATTTAATAGGTACATGTAGACATTGGAGGCAGTATATGTTGCTTTATCACCTTTTTCCTTAAAGTATTTTGTGCATGAGTAATGGCCTCGTGAATTCCATGCGTTAATGTGTATCATCCTGTAACTGCAATGACATACAGTCATGTATTTCAATAGCTGCTATGAGCTGATTCAAGCAAGCATTTAGTCATCAACTGGATCAGGGGGTTATAAAAAGATGGTTACATCAATTTAACTGCAGCTTGGTCACTAGCATAGCACACCCAAGAGAAAAGTGTATGCACACTGTGTGGCAATAAACATTTCCTTCTCAAAATCATCACAGTTTTTTGTTGTGCGTTTGTAGTTCTAGCCATAGAAAAGCGCTTTTAGTGAGGATAGTGTGTTTGAAGGAAGTGTTATAAACTCGATCTGCTGAGTAAGGCTGCTGTTGCCGGCTTTCACAGACCGTCCTCTGTAGATATTTGGCCGGAGCTTTCATCTGCTGGCTTCAAAACAAGCAACGTTTACAGGCTTGCAAATCAAGCTGTGTGAACCTTGGATACATAGATTGCACACCCTACAGCACAGTTTCTATTCTTTCTTTAACTTTGCATTTAAAGGAACACTAATGTTAATACATTTTAGCATTAGTGTTCCTTTTTTATTTTCTGTGTTACAAACAAATGCGTTAAAAAAACTCTATAAAATGCACGTTTGCTCCAGTTCTAGAACCGACGTCTTGCTGCAGCTGCATCACCTGATTATCAGTCCAGTACTTCTCATAGAGAAGTAGCATTCGGGATAACTGATGTGCTCCAACAATCCAAAGCTTGACGATGCAAAACATGAAGACTTTCAAAATTGAAGGTCTCAAGGCTGTAGTGCCTCTAGTGGCTGACAGTCTTGTGTTGTACTTTCATTGAAATTCCAACGCAGTCAAAAGATATCATAAGTCAAAGTATGGACTACTTTGTCTTCTGGTATTTCCCAACTTACATAGTTACATAGCTGAAAAGAGACCTGCGTCCATCAAGTATTTCTCAAATTTGTTTTTGCTGTTGATCCAAATGGCAAAAAACTGTCTGAAGCACTTTCCAATTTTGCAACAAACTAGGAAATAAATTCCTTCTTGACACCGTATATTTTTTTGCACGTATTTATCCAATTGCTGTTTAAATATCTGTGTATATTCTGATAAAACCACCTCTTTAGAGAATTCCTCATTCTTATTGTTCTTACTGTAAAAAAAAACTTTCCTTTGCCTTAGACTAAATCTCCTTTCTTCCAGTCTAAATGTGTGACCTAGTGTACTATGTATAGTCCTGTTTATGAATAGATTTCTTGACAATGGGTTTGTATTTGCCCTGAATATATTTGTATATTGTTATCATATCACCTTTTTGAGGTGTAGTTTTTTCTCAAACTAACAAGATTTAAATTGGTTAACCTTTTTTTTTTTTTCATAACTAGTTCCTTCTATCAATTTTGTAGCTCGCCTCTGCACTTTTTCTAGTGCCATAATATCCTTCTTTAGAACATATGTTTAAAATTTCACAGCATATTCAATATGTGGTTCTTACCAGCGAAAAAAGGTTTTCATCTCAAATTAATGCCCCTATTTATACATGACAAAACCTTATTTGCCTTAGCAACTGCCAAAATTGCATATTGTTGCTTAGTTTGTCTATAACCGTTCCCAAATCCTTCTCGTGTGTTGTCTCTAATTCAACATACAAGATGGATTTGGGAATTTTTATAGACAAAATCTTGATGGATGAAGCTCCAGGATCTAAAGATCAAAGATGGCGGTGACCATAAGGGACAATTTCAGGTAAATATAACTCTCCTGCATTCTTTATTAGCCATTAAAACGACTAACTACCATAATGGCAACTGAAATATCGAATGTATATGTAACATAGTGATGGGAAACACATGAAATGGGTTGCCTTGTAGTATGTAGAGTTAAGAAGTTTTAGATTAAATTGGCACTTTGTGGAATTTGGAAAGACTCCCAATATTGACATCGGTGGGGGACTGGGAAAGGTGAGTTTCTATCTTTATGAAATGGGGTGAGTGGGGGGAGGTGCCGCTTTAAGTAATTAGACAATGAAGAATCCTCCAGAATATGCATTATACATACGGCAGAGTAATACTTTAGATGCTATTACAAATCTGACAAATGTATCTGTATCCCTGAAGGGCAAGTAAATAATTGATTAAACCAAGAGATGAAGGGGGGGACTCAATTTATTCTCTAAGTGAGGCAGGGAGAAGTTGATTGCTAAAGGTCAGAGGGCTAATTGCACTATGGCCTAGTCACAGTCATGGTAGAATGAGATTTGTATCTGCATGAAATTCCAGGAATCTAGTAAAGTTAGTAATATGTGGGTGTAGGAGCTTACAATTCAGACGGCAAGAGAACGAGATAAGCCTCTCAGCATTTTTTTTTTTGAAAGTTCTATGTAAAGGGACACTATATTCGTCACCAGAACAACTACACTTTTTGTTGTAATTATTCTGGTGAGTATAATCAGTCCCTGTAGGCTTTTTGCAGTAAACACTGTTTTTTTTCAGAGAAAAGGCAGGGTTTATTTTTCAGCCTAGGGATACCTCCACTGGCCACTCCTCATATGGCTGCTAGAGATACTTCCTGGGGCATTGCTGCACAGTATGCAGCACTGACATGCAATACCACCATAGGGTCATAAATACATGTTTGCATTCCTGACCCTATAGTATTCCTTTAGTGTTATAGTGGGAGAGTGAGACAGGACAAGGTTACAATGTGCAGATTGGGTGCAATTGCAGTAAAATTGTGTATGTGGGGTTGACAGTGTAGTTTTACTGAGAATCACAGGGATATGTCATAAAAAAGGATAGAATGGGAGTTGAAAGCATTTGGTGATATGGATAGTATAACATTTATAGGGTTTATTTGTGCATCAAAAGTTTGTTTTGAACATTCTCATAAAAAAACAACAACAACCTAGAACTATTTTAATGTTTTGAACATTCTCAACTCTTTAAAAGAGTTATCAGAAATATTCTGTAAACCTGGATGAATGGGTAATTGGCCTGATAGTTTTATAGTTAGAAGTTATGAGGATTTCTCAAAGTCCAACTTGATAGATGCAGGTGACGCATAACAGTACTATATACACTGACCAGCCACAACATTAAAAACACTGACAAGTGAATAACATTGAATGAATATATCAGTACAATGGCACGCGGCAAGGGGTGGGATTATATTAGGCAGCAAGTGAACAGTCAGTTCTTGAATTTCATGTGTTGGAAGCAGGAAAAATTGGCAAGAGATGAGATTTAAGTGACTGGGTGATGGCTAGATGATTGGGTCAGAGCTAGGGATCGACCGATATTGATTTTTCAGAGCCGATACCGATATTCTGTGAACTTTCAGGCCGATAGCCGATATAATTTGCCGATATTCTGTACATTTACCATTTCGGAAAATAAAAACTATTTCTAAAGGTAAATGCACAAAATATACATGCCACGTGTAGTGGATGCAGTGTGACAGGGGAGCTGTGTGTGTTTGTGTAGTGTGTGTGTAGTGGATGCAGTGTGTGTTTGTGTAGTGTGTGTAGTGGATGCAGTGTGTGTTTGTGTAGTGCAGTGTGTGTTTGTGTAGTGTGTGTGGAGGATGCAATGTGTGTTTGTGTAGTGGATGCAGTGTGTATTTGTCTAGTGTGTGTATTAGTGTAGTGTGTATATAATGAAAGCAGAGTGTTTGTGTAGTGTGTGGGTAGTGTGCGTAAAGTGAATGCTGTATATACTAAATGCAAAGTGTGTGTGTATATAATGAATGCAGAGTGTGTGTGTATTTGTGTAGTGTGTGTATAGTGAATGTAGTGTGTTTATATAATGCAGAGTGTGTGTTTGTATAGTGTGTGTATATAATGCAGTGTGTTTGTGTAGTGTGCATTATATAAACACACTACACAAACACACTGCATTATATACACACACACACTGCATTATATACACACACACACTACACAAACACTGCATTATATATACACACTACACAAACACACACTGCATTATATACACACACTATACAAACACACACTGCATTATATACACACACTATACAAACACACACTGCATTATATACCCACACTATACAAACACACACTGCATTATATACCCACACTACACAAACACACACTGCATTATATACACAGTGTGTTTGTGTAGTGTGTGTATATAATGCAGTGTGTGTTTGTGTAGTGTGGGTATATAATGCAGTGTGTTTGTGTGCATTGTATACAAACACACACACACACACTATACAAACACACACTGCATTATATACACAGTGTGTTTGTGTAGTGTATATAATGCAGTGTGTGAGGGGGCATTTTTTATTAAATTATTAAAAAAAAAATTATTTACTTAATTATTATTTATTTCTGTTGTCCCCCCTCCCTGCTTGTTACCTGGCCAGGGAGGGGGGATATAGCAGTCCCTGGTGGTCCAGTGGTATTGCTGAGCTTTGGGGGGGGCGGGCAGCAAGCGCTTACTCACCTCCCAGCAGCTCCTCCAGCTCCCCAGTGCAACTCTCGCCGCCAGCGTGTCGCGCGGAGCGTTGCCATGGTGATCCATGGCAACGCTCTGACGGCCGCTGGTCTCGCGAGAGTTGCACTGGGGAGCTGCTGGGAGGTGAGTAAGCGCTTGATCTCCGCCCCCCCAGGACCGCCGGGCTTGTAATGAGCCCGGCGGTCCCAGGAGGTATTATCGGCAATATCGGTATCTGAATTGGCCGATACCGATATTGCCGAGAATACCGAATATCGGACGATTATATCGGTAAAACCGATAATCGGTCGATCCCTAGTCAGAGCATCTCCAAAAAGGCAGTGGTTAGTACCTACGAAAAGTGGTACATGGAAGGACAATCAGTGAATCCGTGTCATTGGCGCCCAAGGCTTATTTATACATGTAGGGAGTAATCATACAGAAGAGCTACGGTAGCTCAAATTGCTGAAAAACTTAATGCTGGCCATGATAGAAAGGTGTCAGAGTTCAGTGTATTAGAGTTTGCTGCATATTGGGCTAATTACCCCATCCGAGTGCTCATGATGATCCACAAGTGCTTTCAATGAGGATGTTGGTGCTGGATCAATGGAAGAAGGTTGCCTGGTCTGATGAATCACATTTTCTTTTATATCAGGTGGATGGCAGAATGTGTCAGTCGTTTACCTGGAAAAGCGATGGCAGCGAATGCACTGTGGAAAAAAGGCAGGCCGGCCGAGGCAGAGTTTATGTTCTTGGCAATATTCTGCGATGTCCTGTCATTCATGTGAATGTTACTTTGACACAGACCACCTAATCAGAGATAGTTGAAGACCATGTACACCCCTTCATGTGAATAGTGTACCCTAATGGCAGTAGCCTTTTTCAGCAGGATAATGCCCCCTGCCACACTGCACAAATTGCTCAGGAATGGTTTGAGGAACATGACAAAGTTCAAGGGTGTTGACTTGACCTACACATTCCCCTGATCTCAATTGGATTTGCACAACTATGGGATGTGCTGGATCCATGGAGGCCTCACCTCAAAATCTGCAGGGCTTAAAGGATTTTGTGCTAATGTCTTAGTGCTACCGGACACATTCAGAAGTCTTGTGGAGTCCACGCATCAATGCTTTAGCGTTTGGCAGCGTGAGAGGGACGTACACTATATTGGGAAGGTGGTTTTAATGTTGTGGCTGATCATTGTATATTCATTCATTCATACAGTGTTTTATTCTGTGTGAGTTGGAGGCAGCCTGTGGCGGAAGAGTCAACCAGTCCGCACCCTCCTTAACCCCTTAAGGACACATGACGTGTGACATGTCATGATTCCCTTTTATTCCAGAAATTTGGTCCTTAAGGGGTTAAAGGAACAATATAGTGTCAAAACGTGTATTCCTGACAATATTGGTATAAAACACAATTTAGGTGTCCGCACCACGTGAAAAAGGTGGTGTACTTGCCTTTTTCCAGTGCCGTGTGGGTCAGGTCGTTGCTGTCCCAGCTCCCACTCTGCCTCGGCTCCTGCTCTGCCTTCTTGACTGAGAGTTTCAATTCTGATGATGTCAGACAGTCCGTTTTCCCATAGGAAAGCATTGGGAGGCCAGTGCGCACACACGCGGCACAATGCAGCGCTGCATAAATCCGCATCTCCTCATAGAAATGCATTGAGATGCTGAATGTCAGTGCTGCAGTGAAAATGCAGTGTTCACATTAAATGCTTGCCGGAGCAGGCTGTATATACTAGAACAACTACGTTAAAAGGACACTATAGTCTCCTAAACAACTTTAGCTTAACGAAACAGTTTTAGTGTATAGATCAGGGGTAGGCAACCTACGGCACTAGTGCCATGCATGGCACTCGAGGTGTCTTTGCACAGCACTCAAGGCTACAAGAGCCAAACAGGCTCTGGCCTGTCAGGAGTCCCAGTGAATCTTCAGATATCTGCTAATACGAAAAAGGTGGTAAAGGACAATCTTTAATTTATGCAATGCAGCACATAGAGGGGATCTCAGATCACTTCCTACCAGCACTTGTGAATGGGAATTCACACTAGAGTAGAGCAGCCCACAGCTTCCTGTTGCAGCTTCTGTCCTTGACCTGTACCTGGCCAACCTGGTCCCCACTGGACCCCAGGTAAGCCACCCACACTGCTAGATATACACAGAGCTGCAGAATAAGCCTCCCCTCATACAAATAATACGAACAGCCCACACACAAACGCACAAACACAACACCACCAACAATCCACATACATACATACAACTCCACATGCAGCCTCTCACATGCAATACCCCAAACAGCCCCCACACATACACACTACCAAACACACAATGTGACATCCATTCACACACAATTCCACAAGCAGCCCCCATACACAGCCCAAATTCATAGGTATTATACATGATACCACAAACTATTAATGAACATATACAATATAATAGCTCATATACGCACAAATACAACGATACAAAGCAACTGCAGTATAAATAACACAAGCAGAATATGGCAACATGCACACCTCAATTTAAAGAAATAGGACCAACACGCTACGGGACATCACAATCATATTTCGGCACAGTGCTGCTAAAAGGTTGTCTACCCCTGGTATAGATCATGCCTCTCAGGTTTCACTGCTCAATTTACTGTCATTTAGGAGTTAAATCACTTTGTTTCTGTTTATGCAGCCCCTGTCAGACCTCCCCTGAGTCTGATTGACAGAGCCTGCATGAAAAAAAATTGGTTTCACTTTCAAACAGATGTAATTTACCTTAAACAATTTTATCTCTTGCTCTGTAAATTGAACTTTAATCACATACAGGAGGCTCTTGCATTGTCTAGCAAGCTATTAACATAGCAGGGGATAAGAAAATCTAAATTAAACAGAACTTGCAATAAAGGAAGGATAAACATTAGATGACTAGTGTTTTTGAAGGCTGTGCAAGTCACATGCAGGGAGGTGTGACTAGGGTTCATAAACTAAAAGGGATTTAACACCTAAATGGCACAGGATTGAGCAGTGAGGCAATTAGGCAAGATACGTACTTATGGCAAAGAAAAAAACGCTATCGAGCAAATATTAAATTACAAGTACTGTACTGCCAAAATATGATGCACATTGTATCAGAATGTGACAAAACAGTGCTTCCCAACCTTTTTTCACTTGTGTATCTCTTGGCATCTATTCTGTACTCCTCATATTCGCAAAATGATTGTAGTTAATATAGTTGCTGTAACTTTAAATGTATACAGTTTTTTTTCTATGCCCGATCTCTCCTTTTTCTTTGCCCAAGGTCCCCTGTTCTCCTCTGTCCCAGGCTTTCTTGGTCTTTCTCTGCCCCAGGCTCACTGATTCTCCTGTGCCCCAGGCATATTGGCATATACATACTCTGACACACATGCAGATACACAGACGCGCGCACACACGGACACACATGCAGATACAGATGTGCTCACATGCAGATCAGATACATAGGATGTTGGCTTCTGCTGGCGGGGGCTGTTGGGATTAAGGCTCATTTCCCAGTCTGCCCTCTCCTGCGGCTATGTCTGTGCCAGCTGGGAGGAAGTGACTGTCTCTAACTTCCTCCCAGCCTACCCTGTAGATAAGGAGAGTCCTGGTTGCACTTTTAACCCCTTAAGGACACAACTTCTAGAATAAAAGGGAATCATGACGAATATTTCCGTCATGTGTCCTTAAGGGGTTAAAGCACCACAGCAGCACATGATCAGGCCCTTGATGGAACATAGCCCCTCCCCCTGCGTTTCCCAACCTGTCTGGTGCAGCTGCACCGGTGGTAGAATCGCCATTACTGACTTCCTCCCCTCTTCCCCCCCACCCCCCCATTTCCCACTATCCACTCTGTGTAACGCTGGGGGTACGTGTACCAAGGGTTGGGAACCGCTGTGCTTGTAGACTCTGTGCTGGTATATTGAAGAGATCACGAACAAGTGCAAAGTCTTCTCTCACAAAATGTGCCAACTCTCTTTGAAGAGATTTTATATGTGCACAATAGTGCTACAATTACGGCTGATTACTCACCTTTCTTAACATTTTAATTACCCTATCTTAATTATATATAATCTTAATTCTATTTTCTGTAATTGATCATTAAAATACTTTGAATAGTCCAATGTTGTGGGTAGAGCCCCTCTCTGATGGATGAGTCAGACATGGGCTTTCATTGTAGATTGCAATGAACGAAATAACGTGCAAGGTGACAGACTAGGGGGGAATAGCAGTAATTGAATCGGGACATGTATGCAACAGGATCTGGGTTCCTGAAATAAATTGACCAGAGCTACAGTGACACTCACATGCTTGTGCACACACCTAATTGATATAAATAACATGGCTTCCATCTTATAGTGCTTTAGAAATAATAGCTCTAGAACATATTCAAGCTAAATTAGGTTAAATGCTCTGGTCAGGTTATTATAGATCAGGGGTAGGCAACCTTTTAGCCGCACGTTTGTGTGTGTGTTGCTGAATTCTGCTTGTTATGTATGGGTTCTGCAGTTACTTTATAGGGTTGTATTTGTGTGTGTGTGGGGGGGGTTTCCTTGCGGGGGTGTCTGTGGGTTCCCAGTAGTATTGTGTTTGTGGGGGTTGTGTATCTGCTTCTGGACTGTGTGGGGGACACTTCTTTTGCAACTGTGTGTATGTCTGGCTTTGTATATCCCTGGGGTTAAGTGAGGGGCGGGGTTGGGCCGGCCAGGTACAGGACAAGGGTTGGGGTTGTGGTAGTTGCTGCTCTCCTCCAATGCAGATTCACATTCTCTGAGATCACTTCCTTCACGTTTTGCAGTGATTAAATTGAGGGCTTCCCCTCACCAACTGATACAATCACTGCTAGTTCTGAATGCACCATGGGGCCAACTGATAGACTAGCTCCTCATGTCTCCTCATCCTGTTTGGGTCAGGCAGCTTTGTGTGCCATCCAAAGTCACCCAGAGTGCCACAGGTTGCTGACCCCTGTCATAGATCCTTTTTTTTTTTTTTTTTTAACTTTGCCCATTTATCGGTAAATAAAAAGATATTTGCTAACTGCATCCTGCTGCAGAAAACCAATGGATTTAATATTCAACTGCAGGCTAACTACTATGGAATGTGTGGTGCCCTTTTCTAAATAAGGGGTTATCTCTCTTGCATAAAAATCAGGGGAATTACCTTGATGTCTCTGTACACATTCCAGTTGCAAATGTTCCAGTGGGTGTGAGTGAGTCATACCTGCTGTAAAACAAATAAACTAGCAGCAGGGTTAGGTACTATAGTGATATGCAAAGCTGGACAATCCACAGCAGTGAGGTAGCAGAGTATTTTGTACTATTTCATAAATGTTCCGTGGGATGTGCCTATTTGTGATTCCTAGTAAAGAAAAGAAAAAAAAACTATTGTAAAGCCCTGAAATGGTTTTTCTGACCTCTAAATTATGAATACATCTGGCCAGCATTTCTAAGACACACTGCTATTATTACAATTATTGTTAAGTGAAGTACGTTTTCCTCCATCTAGGATTAGCTGAAGTGATAACATAAGGCTAAGCAAAATAACATCTTCATGACATAGCCTTCATATATGGAAATTATGTGATTCTATCCCCATTTTATTTATTAACTACAAGAACACTCGGAATAGAAATGTGTGCTCCTATCGATATAACCCTGCAAGGGTTAATAAGCTATTGGTTACCATTTATCCCATGTAGCGCCGCTCTCTCCAGCCTCTTTGGCTGAGATTATCAAGCTTGATGATCTCAGCCAATCCAGTGTTTTCCCATAGTGTCATGTGATGCGTTCCACAATTATGCCTTCTATATGGAGGCTAATGTGCATATGTGGCAAAACACAGCGCTGCGCCAATCTATCTCTATAAGACCATCTGATTTGCTGGACAGATATGCATCTACTATCTGTCAGTGACAGGAACTAGAGGGATTTAAACCCTGCAGAACAGCACTGGTTTCACTAGCAGTGTTAAAATGAGGGGGTCATTGCACCCATCATGAGTGAATCCACAGGCAAGATATGCCTGTTGATAGCTTGCATCAATACAAATGTTCACCCATCCTTAATGAATGAAGCTAATTGCTTTTCGATCAGCAAGGTAATAAGGCGTGCTGGAAGTCTGGCCAAATGTATCCTTTTTCATTGAAAAATAAAAAGACCAGATAGAAGAATCAGGGATTCTAAGGTTTTCTGAGGAGGAGATGGAACTTGGCTTTATTTGCTCAAATTGGGCAACTGTGAGCTTGCAGATTGATCGGGGAGTTATTTTACTACATTTAATATGAATAAAGACTGTTATCATTTCTTTTTGTTGTTCTTTATTCAAAGTACAGTTATTTTCTGGTAGCTTGCTGCATACTCTTCCTGCTTTGGATCACTTATATTAAAGGACCACTATAGTGCTAGGAAAACATACTAGTTTTCTTGGCACTACATGGTCTCTAGGTCCCCCTCCCGCCGGACTCTAGGGGGTGGAAGGGGTTAATCCCTTACTTTTTTTCCCCCGTCGGGCTCCCTTGGGGCGGGGAACTCTCCTCCTCCTTTTCACCGTCATCGGCTGAATGCGCATTCAGCCAGTCCATAGGAAAGCTTTCTCAATGCTTTCCTATGGACGCTGGCGTCTTCTCACTGTGAAAATCACAGTGAGAAGCGGCTGTCAATGAGACAGCCACTAGAGGCTGGATTAACCCATAGGTAAACTGCTATGTTTACAGCAAAAAGGGTTAAACCTAGCTGGACCTGGCACCCAGACCTCTTCATTAAGCTATAGTGGTCCTTTAAAGGAACACTATATTGTTAGGAATACAAGCATGTATTCTTAAAATGATAGTCCTGGAGTGGCCGTTTAGGTAACTTGCCCCCCTCAGCTTGGAGGTAAAAGGTATTATACTTAATTTTCTGCCGCCACTGTGCAGGTATTGTCGTGGCTGGCCCTTAATAAAGCATTTGGAGGCTATTGTGCATGCGCAGCAAAACACTGCGTTGCGCCATTCTGCATCTCCTCATAGAGGTGCATTGAATCAAACCATCTCTATGGGTATCCATGCAGAGCATGCAGATGTGGAATGTTGATGCTGCACACTCTGCAACACTGAGATAGGAAGCACCTCTAGTTGCCACCTGAGTGACTTCTCCTAGAGGATTTACTAGGTAGCAGTGTAAACAGCGTTTACTTTGAAAGTCCTGCAGGGACTGATTATAATCACCAGAACCACTATACTAAGCTGTAATAGTTCTGGTGACCATAGTGTTGTTCTTATTTTGTTTAATCCTTTCACTTTACTTATAAAGCAATGTTGCCATTTCACATTGCTATTTAAACCAGTGCTTTTTTTCCAGTTGGCAGCCGTTACAAATTCCTTGAATATAATTCCAAATGGGTGTGGAAAGCATTAACTTGATATAGTAATTAATCATTTTTTTTTTTTTTCTGTAGAAAGGTCTCCAGCAGTGTATGTAGGAGAGAGAGTTTATATTTTTGCCTCGTGCATCCAATAATGACAATTCCCATTGTTTCATCGTCCCACTTCTGTAACTGTACTAAAGGCTGACATTTGTGAGGTGCATATACCGTATGTATCAATTCTTATCATATTAAGTGTCACCGCTGGTTATCTGTCTGTTCTTTCCTCTACCTGCCCCAAGAAATTGCATTATTCTTAATGGTGGTTTTTGTTCAGTTCCCTGCCGTATTTTGTACTTAAGGTGCCTTGTGAGTGCAGGCTTTGTACTTCTAAATGTCACATTGTGCACTCAGGTTACTTAGAAAGTCATGTGAGAGACGACCCTTTTCATGAGATCGCTGTGTGGATATTTTAAGATGGATATATGTGAATACTTTTAGAAGTAGTCATAAAAATTCTTTTTTTTTTTTCTTTTTTTTTTTTCATACAAATTGACATTTGGGTGATGTCTGTATTTAGCCTGGAGATGACTATCATGCGTTAAAAAGATTTATTCTTTGAAATTTGTAGCTAATCCAAAGTCTAGGAAGTGGGTTAATATGCACAGGGGAAGCATATACCTTACAAAGAGTGTTTGACTCTTTAAAAATAAAATAAATAAAAATCTTACTGTTGTTTTTGGGTGGTGCTTCTTCCTTTGATGGTAACCCGCCACCCCCCAAAAAATGCACACACAAAAAAAAAACATCCCACAAGCACCATGGAGAAGAGAACTACTTTAATGAATTACAAAATATTCCTTGTAGCGATTGGTGGCCAGTCCAGCAAGATTTCTTTGGACGTTTTTGGACTTTTTTTGGTCAAATGATAAAATACCACATTCCAATACCTGTTCAAAACTCGTCTGGTTAGTTGCATCTTTGGTAGGTGCATGTTTAAAATTGAAAAATATCAACAAATCCATTTTAGAACTTGTGATATTGCATTTGTGTCAATGTACCAAAACATGTAATAATTTGTTTTCTGTCTTTTCCAGCGTTGTGTGGTCCTGAGGTTCCTGAAGTTTCTTCCAAACAGGAGTAAGGTATGACTTATTTACAATGGTCTGTTCTTACAAAGACATTCATGCACTAACTTCCTTTCTCATGGGTTTTAATCCATGTAAGTGGGTACAGTTTTAAAGGATTTAAAAAAAACGATAATGTGATAGTTTTATAGTTCAAATGAATTCTTCAAACTCGTGTTACTCCCCCAATGTATCTCAGGTTAGCTATCTTTTTGATACTTCCAAAGCCAGTATTTATAGAGGAAAAACCTGTCAGTGTCAGGAATACAAAGCTATATTCGCATTAGACCTCCCCATAGGAAAGCACTGAGTCAATGCTTTCTTATGTGGCAAAACTCTGACGCTGGATGTCCTCATGCAGAGCGTGAGGACATCTAGTGTCAGATACCGGTCCAGTGACTGTCTGGTAGACCGCTGCTGGAGGCAGACTTAGAGCTGCAATGTAAACATTGCAGCACCCTGACTATCTCAATGAGCTAAAGCGGTCTGGGTGCCTATAGTGTCCCTTTAATACCTATAGTACTTTTCTTTCAGCAGTGCCAAAGATTTTAAACATATTCTGGGTCTATTGCCAGTCTCATATGAAGCACAGGTTCAAGTTTGTGACTTTTAAAGAGGACACATGTAAGATTTGTGTTAAAATCTGAGCTGTACTGAACAATGAAGACTACTTTGTTTCTGTATATTTTCTATGCCTGACACTTATAGACACTGGGCAGAGCTACCAATGATGGCTGCAGGGAATTGGCTCTGTCAATGCAGGATCTCTCGGGATCCTTCATAGACCTCAATGCTGCACATGTGAAAGTATAGTGGTGGCGTTGGCTCCTGGCGATAAGGGGTTAGTAGGTGAAGAGGACCTCCCGAAGGAAGATGGATGTGCCTGCGAGGGACAGATTCAGGTAAGTACAGGTAGATACAACAAAGGTTGGAAAGAAATGTATGTTAAAAGAGATTGGTTGGTTGGCATTAGTGGTATGTTGTATTCTGAATGCTACCAGCATCCATGATATTTAAATAAAATGTGTGAATAACATTTTTTTTTCCCCTTTAATTCATGAAGCTGTTTTTCCCCCCCTTTCTAGACTGCGGAGGAAGTCTACCAACACTTACAAAAAATTTTGGACTTTGGCAAACATGTCATGAAGCAGTTTCTTGGAGAAAACTATGTTCATCACGGGGTATGTTAATGAAGCCTTGAATACATGACAAACCATGGTCCTCTTTGATATGACTAACTTGTACAATAGCTTTTGAGATCAGTGCCCAGCAACCACTAAAAGGGAATCTAAAAAGTGACACTAAGAATGGTCTTTTTGGATAACTAGGTAATATTCAATATCACACTGTGTTGGGGTAGTGGAATGATTTGTGAAGTTCTTTAACCTCTTAAGGACACATGACATGTGTGACATGTCATGATTCCCTTTTATTCCAGAAGTTTGGTCCTTAAGGGGTTAAAGGGATGGGATTTGAGAGCATTTCAGTGGCCTTTTGATTTCAACATAATATTGCAAATATAGAGGCTAAATTCCTCTCTTTTTGTCTTTGTTTATTTTGCAAGTGAATGGTTGCATTGTTACACAGAGCTTTACAGTAGCAGATCACATAGCCTAGGAGACTTGCCGATTGGGGACGTTTTGGAGAGGTGCAGCTAGATGCATTTAACTTGAATATTTGTGATAGTTGAAGCAGTTTCGCTAGATAACTTCCAGGGCAGGTGACCAAGATGGTTATCTTTCCTAGGAACATCTAACTCACTTTAGCGTGCTAAAATACTTTGTGTTAAGTTTGCCCTCATTTTTCATTTTACAAAAAGTGCATATTTAAGAGACTTTTGTAACTTAGCCTTATCACACTACATTGGCTGTCAATCTAACAACTGGTCCTGCTACTAGTTTAGCTAAGTGGAGGTAAACTAAAAAGGCAGGTAGTTGCCCAGAGCACCTGCTTTGCAAAGACGTCTCATTGAGCTTCTTTGGGAAATATGTGATTGGACAACCACAGAAAGTTTGGGCTGGGGAAATAGGGGAAGGCTTGCAAAGGCCGCAGACAAGATATATGCAGCTTTTGCAAGCTGTTTTAGATCTAAGTCATATGATATATTATATTTTATAATTGGGCTGTGCAGTGTTTCTTTAAGAGATTTGGTGTCAATTGTGCTTAATTTTTTTTAATTTTTTTTTTTTTATGCATTACTGAAGTATAAAATAAGGCCTTCTTTAATTTACATGCCTGTCTGATTATTACACGTTTAAAATATTAACATATCCTATAAGGTGGGCTAATATGGGGCTACTAATTATTCAGCTGAAAGACATGTAGTTTATAAAATAAAGGGAAGTATTGGAGAACCACGTATATTTATAAGGAGACCCACCATCTTATTGTTAAAGGAGCTCTATAGGGTCAGGAACACAAACAAGTATTCCTGATCCTATAGTGTTAAAACCACTATCTTGTCCCCTTGGCCCCCTTTGCCTCTCTAAAGATGGTAAAATCTTACTTGTAGGCAAGTTTGAAGCTGCTGCCTCTGCCTGTGAACTTCCTCTGACATCATCAGAAGTGGTGGCCTGATCCAATCACAATGATTCCCCATAGGATTGGCTAAGACTGACAAGGAGGCAGATCAGGGGCAGAGCCAGCACAATTCAAACACAGCCCTGGCCAATCAGCATCTCCTCATAGATATGAATTGAATCTCCAAGAGGAAAGTTCAGTATCTGCATGCAGAGGGAGGATATACTGAATGTTTGGATGCATTTTAGGCAGCCATTACCCAGGAAGGATCTCTAACAGTCATCTGAGGAGTGGCCAGTGAATTTATCACTAGGCTGTAATGTAAACACTGCATTTTCTCTGAAAAGACGGTGTTTACAGCAAAAACCCTGAAGGTAATGATTCTACTCACCAGAACAAATTCAATAAGCTGTAGTTTTTCTAGTGACTATAGTGTCCCTTTAATCATTATGGTCATAGAAAAACATTTGACCATCAAGACCAGAATATGTGGTTGGTTTTATTTAATTATTATTTAGGGTTCTGTTTGTAAAATGTGTTGCCATTTGAGGGTCCACTGCCACATAAGGTAAATATTGTAATGTATCTTGTTTGTAAGTATTAGATCACTCTTTACAGGAAGTGTTTAGGAAGGCTGTGTAAGTCTCATGCATGGAGTGACTAGGGTTGCATAACTAGCGTGATTTAACTCCTAAATGGCAGATATTCGAGCAGTGAGACCACAGTGGCATGATCTATACACAGAAACTGCTTCATTAAGCTCAATTTGTTTTGTTGGCTAAAGTGTCAATTTAACGCTTTTTTTTTATTTTTAATTTTTTATTTTTTTTGAGCAATTGACAATATTCAGGATATCACATAAATTGGTGTAAAACATTAGCTACTTTGAAGATTCGATCACGTTCTCCATTTCTCCTTGGTTAGTGTTACTGATAAATCTGTAAAACATTCTTAAAGAACTTTCCTATGTTCCTGTGCCATAAAAAGGATAGATCACAGTACAAAGTTATAAATCTTTACTGCAGCCAAAGGTGAATTAAATTTGTATTTCAAATTGCAACAGTAGTACGAAATAATGAATAGGTGTTTCGGAGATATCTAAAAACTATATTACACACCACATATTTGTTAATTAGTACAGGATATGCAGAGTAGCAAAACAAAAAGGTCCTAATTCATCATTTGGAAGCAATCCAGATATAAAAAATATTTTACCAAAATGTATTTTGTTTAGGTAAACACAGATAAATCTGCACATATACTACATAATGATAAGGTTCTTGCGAAATAGAAAAGATAGTATAAAATGGTTAAGAATACCTGATATATTACATCATCAGTTCAACTAAGCAATCTTTTTTCCCCCCAACTAATTTAACCCCTTAAGGACCAAACTTCTGGAATAAAAGGGAATCATGACATGTCAGACATGTCATGTGTCCTTAAGGGGTTAAAGGACCACTATAGTGCCAGGAAAACATACTCGTTTTCCTGGCACTATAGTGCCTTGAGGGTGCCCCCACCCTCAGGGTCCCCCTCCCGCCCGGCTCTGAAAAGGGGTTAAAACTTACCTTTTTCCAGCGCTGGGCGGAGAGCTCTCCTCCGATCCTCCTTTTCTCCTCCCCGTCGGCTGAAGGCGCACGCGCGGCAAGAGCTGCGCGCGCATTCAGCCGGTCACATAGGAAAGCATTCATAATGCTTTCCTATGGACGCTGGCGTGCTCTCACTGTGAAAATCACAGTGAGAAGCACGCAAGCGCCTCTAGCGGCTGTCAGTGAGACAGCCGCTAGAGGAAATAGGGGAAGACTTAACACATTCATAAACATAGCAGTTTCTCTGAAACTGCTATGTTTATGAAAAAATGGGTTAACCCTAGCTGGACCAGGCACCCAGACCACTTCATTAAGCTGAAGTGGTCTGGGTGCCTAGAGTGGTCCTTTAAAGACCCCACTCCTGGGAGCACGTGCTAAATGGGTCGATACCCCAGACGTTAATAGTCCATTAATGAAGTAGGCTACATCAATTAGGCAGTCTTAACATAAAAATGCTTTGTTTCTTTAGAAAGAAAATAAAAAAACTCTAACCGCTTTGCAAAGCACACAGGGAGTGTGTGTGAATCACGCTTTACGCAGGGCTTCTATAAATAAGCCTCGTGAATATGATGTTTAAAACTGAACCAGAAAGTGTTCTCATAAGTGAAGTTCCAGTGATTCAGAGAGGTCAGGAAGGTCATCCATTTGCAGATGCCATGCATGTGAGAGGAGCTGGGTGTAACATTGGGTAAAGTCAGATGGGTGGAAACGAAGGCTTGGGAGGATTGCAGGAGGTTGTGAAAACAGGACATGGCGGTAAAACAAGAACCAGACATTTCGTACAGAAATAATGGTCCAATGTTTATTTCCCACAATTCCCAGTTTAAGGAATGACTCCGTGGGTGTCCAACCTCCCATCTTCTACTTGTTCAATTTGTAATCAAGCAAGTCCAATATCACGAGAGGACAGCCAGGCTCCAATAATAAGAATAATAAGAAAAAAGGAACATGAAAGATACTACAGTTATTACACATGGATTGTTTACCAGATTGGACTAAAGTTTGATTTGACATGTAATAGTTAAGTAACAACTGTTGGCAGTAGCTCCACATGGACATTTCTGAGCTAATTGGGGGACGAGCAGGGTTATTGGAGATATCTCCAGTGGGTTTTAAGCAGCACAGACCAGTATGCTGGAGTATGAAATGGTGCATTGTATTGAAAGAAATGGCTGTTTTTACTTGTTGCCATCTAGTGGATGTACCGTAACATCCAAGGCATGCATTATCAGAGGATACATGTAAACGGCATTAAACTATGTGTAAATGCAGTGAAACAAATTGTGGGGTAGGTCACGGTTTGTTGCTTGAAAGTAATGTAGAATGTTCTGTTTACATTCAAGTATTATTGAACAGGGCACGCATTCAGTACAGATTTATATAGATTAAGAGCCTCAACAATCAAATATTTAAGTAGCTCTAATTACTACAAAGTAGCTGAAGGTTTTCGTGGAATAACTGTTAATTTAAAATCTACTTAATTTTAGACATACTCTCTATAGGAAGGCCTGGATGAACTTGAATTCTATTTTTAGCACATGGCACGATAGACATCACCATTTTTAAAAAACCTTTTTTAAGTTGTTTATTTTAAGAAGAACCATTAATGTGCCTAATCCTGTTATGGTTCGTTTTAAAGAGGCACACTTACCTTTTCCATTACTTGGATCCATGCCATTTTAACACCCAGGTGTTGAAGCATACAGGCTGCAATAAGCAGTGAATGTTTAAAGAGGGGACTGTAACTAGAAATGCAATACTAGTTTGGTATAAGTTAAAAAGATCTTGCTGCAGTAGTATTGTGTGCATTTCCTTTTTTAACTCAATACATTAAAACTGCACACCAATGACTGACTGTCTAAAACTGCATTTATGTCTGTTAAATTTGATTTGAACCATTTACAACCAATACAGTTGAATTATTCTACATAAAACACCGTAAGGGTAAGCTGACAGCTACCTACATCCACATCATTGTGGATGTACAACTTTGCCTGTTACTTTACTGACAAGATTGAACAGCTAAGGAAATAATTCTCCCCTCCTTGCCATTCTGTTTCTCAACCACACATAGATCATGCCTTTCCTACCCTTCAGACATTCTCCCCGGCTACTGACCAAAAGGTGGCCGCTTTTCTCTTTTCCTCTCGCCCCACCACTTGCCCGCTCGATCCTGTCCCATCTCACCTTATTAGATCTCTCTCCACTTGTCTCGTGCCTTCCTTAATGCACATATTCAACTGCTCTCTCTCTTCTGGCATTGTCCCTGCTGACCTTAAACATGCCACTGTAGTACCTATACTAATAAAACATCCCTCAACCCGTCCACCCCCTCTAACCACCCTCGTCCCATATCCCTGCTCCCTTTTTCCTCAAAGCTTCTGAAAAGACTTGTCTTTACCCGCGTTTCTCATTTCCTCAATTCCAACTCTCTCCTTGACCCTTGAAGTGCCTTAAAACCCATCTCTTTAGGAAAGCTTATGGCCTCAAAGACTAACCTCTACCTCACATACCTGTCTCTTGCTCTCTCCTAAAGGGCAGCCCACCTTATTTGACTGCAAATTCCTGTCCTAATGTGTCTTACACTCCACCTCCTATAGAATGTAAGCTCGATTGAGCAGGGTCCTCTTCAACCTATTGTTCCCGTAAGTTTATTGTAAAAGCGCTACGAAATCTGTTGGTGCTATATAAATGGCAATAATAATAATAATCATTGAACATCTGTACAGTTACTTGCTGCAAGTGACAATGAAACCACAATGTAGAAACAGGAATTGAGTGATAGTAGTTTGTCCGTTCACCAGCCACAGACAAAGATTAAAACGGAACTAAAAGAGCCTGGATAAACCAGATGCTTCGTTGATCAGTTCTTGGAATGAGAGAACATAGAATTCTGTTTATTGGAATTGAACAGCCATGTGTGAAGTTTTCATAAATTCGTACAAAGTAAAGACCAGTACAGATCTCTGCAGAAAAAAAGCAGATGCCATGTGAGACAGATTGCTGTTAAACTGTTGACTGTAAATCTAATTCCTTAAAAAAAAAAAAAAAAAAAGTGTCTGTGTAGTCTTTATCCATTTATCAATTTATGACCACGTGAGTTAAATACTGTTACTATCAATTTGTTTTGGCGCATTATGTAACTTTATCCTTATTTTACATAATGGATATAAAAAATGCAGAATAGGAAATTTTTCTCTTCTATTCATTTTTATTTTTCTGGAGTATTTGCACTGATGCATTGCTGATGTGGAATTTTATGGCTTGCATATAATCCACTAATCCAACATCACATGTCAAATGTAGATGGATAATTGCGTAAAACTGCTAACTTGCCACCCTACTGCTTACCTTTTTAATTGTTTGCTGTTTGAACTGCTATTGTTTTTATACTTTTTTTTTTTTTCTTTACTGTGAATAAATATGCGTTTAGCCTGGTCAGTAGATTGGCCTACGTAAAGAATTTGGCTGAATTTCTAACCCACATTTGGTCTCAGGGACCCTTTTCTGAAACCCTTTTCTGTCGAATGTGTACACAAGCTGTACCTGTGTGAACATTTGCAATGGGATTTCAATGGCGAAGCTGAATGTTCAGCCAAGACCAGCAACAACATTAGCATTCCAGATGACGTCTTTAACTCCTGGTTCTGATTTTTATTCAGTTGCACCTAAAAATAAATGTCATTACTAAAAACATTACTAGCCGCTATGTAGAGACCGTGTTCTTGTACCAGAAGAGTTCATGGCGCAGTGAATATATGGTAAAAAAAAAAAGTACATAGCTGTACTTTTTAGCTATATATTGAATTTATTTAGTAGAAATACCAGTGAATACATACTTTCTCTCCCAAGCTGGTGATTTATTTAAGGGTTATTTACTAAAGGAAGAATTGCCTGGAAATAAGTGAATTCGAATTTAAGGCTAATGTAGCCAAACTGGAACAATTCTCCCAGTCAACTATGCTTTCACTTCTGCTACTTTGACTTGAATTTTGAAATTCACTTTGAATTTTAAAGAATTTAGTAAATCATCTTGTTTGTGTTTTTGCACGATCTGGTTGAGATAGATATAGATACATTATACACATTCCATCCATTTTTCAAGGTAAAACAGAAAGGTGCAAGTAGAATATTTCACAAATGTTATAAAATTGCATCAGGTATGCCTAACCCAACCTGACAACAGGTGAAACCTTAACATTCTGGTGAACAATACAACCTCTATATTCATTAAAAGAGAGAGAACGTACACATTAAGATAATGCAGAGCACATAAGGGAATTTGAAAAATGTGTCTTCTATTGATCCCACACATTTATTGCTGCAATGTTTTCTACACGTTTCCTTGGTTCTCCTAAATGGAAGTGATATTTGGAAGATCGTGACAGCTCTTCTTGAATCTGATTTTTCCAGTGTTCCTTAATTCGGAAGTTTTCTCACATTTTATCTTCCATCTCTTCTAAAGGTTTTACAGTTCATGGCATAATATTGTCGTGTTACCCTTGAAACATAAAAATATAACTGTGATCTTTATATTGCAGGAGGTGGTGAAGTTGCCATTGGATTTTCTGAAACCTCTCTGTTTAAGGGTTCAGTCAGAAAGACCAGGTGAGATTTATTAACTCCTGCTGATAAATGAGAATAGGAGTACCAGTAAGGCACTGTGGTTTGTTTATTAAGTACACAAACTGTCCTCTTAACTGTGGTTCTCATTTAAACATATAGCAGTATGTTGGAGTAAATAAGCATCAAAGGAACGGTATAGCGTTGGGGATACAAATCTTTATTCCTAATACTATAGTGTTCTAGTTGCAAAGGCTAATGAGTAGTTCACCTTTGATCCTATGCCATGCTGCTCTGTACTTGGCGGTCCCCACCTACTTGGCAGAGATGATCAGTCTTGATGATCTCAGCCAATCCCTTGCTTTCCCATAGGAAAGCAATACATGGCTGGTGCATGTGTCGGCAAAGAGCCATGCTACACCAGTTAGATGGTTTCTATAATGGTCTCTAGTGGCTGCTATTAGAGGCATTTAAACCCATCAATGAAAACATTGCTGTCCCTGCAGAACAGTAATGTTTTCCCTGGCAGGCTTAAAGGACCACTATAGGCACCCAGACCACTTCAGCTCAATGAAGTGGTCTGGGTGTCACGTCCATCTAGGGTTAACCCTGCAGCTGCAAACATAGCAGTTTCATTGAGAATGCTTTCCTTTGGACTGATTGAATGCGTGCGCGGCTCTTGCCGCGCATGTGCTTTCTGCGGATGATGTCGGAAGAGGAAGGAGAGTCCCCAGTGCCGAGGGAGCCCAGCGCTGGAGAAAGGTAAGTACCGGCTGGGGGGGACCCAAAGATCCTATAGTGCCAGGAAAAAGTGCCAGTAAAAAGTGTTTTCCTGGCACTATAGTGGTCCTTTAAACCTAAAGGGGCATAGCACCTCCACTTGCCAGCTCAGAGTGCGTGCATGCAGTACGTGCTCTCAGCTGGCGAAACTGTCCAGTCTCTGGCTTCTCATAGAGAAGCATGTGATTGGACCTCACGTGTCCCTTTCTTAATGTCAGCAGAGACATGGAATGCATTGAGATGAAGTGGTCTGGGTGACTATAGCTTTCCTTTAAGCTAAAGTACCTTTGGTGCTTATATTGTTTAATATCAGAGCCGTGTAGCCTTTTGCATGTGTGTTCTGGCTGACTGGTGACCAAACTAGGTACTGCTATAGAACATACAATATTGTAGATAGTGGGGGAAGTGAAAACTAATGGAATGTTCATGCTGAATGCTCCACTTTAGAATCCTGATAACTTTAATATGAGTGCCGTCTATCTGTGTTACTTATAGTGGAACAACTTAACCAACTAGAAAATGTGTGGTTTTTAATGTACCTTTTTTTTTTTTTTTTTAACTTCTAACTACACTGGTTAAAGTCTGTTACCAAAAAGATGAATTTCTAGCAGTATTTAAAATGTTAATGAAGGAATGTTACTAAGCGATGTGTATGTATATTTAAATAGATGCAATTTATATTTAAAGAAAAGTAGCTCTGTCACTGTACATGCAAATGCCTTGTCACTGAGTGCCCTCACATCGCTGACTAATGGCTCTGATCTTGTTGGTGATCATTTTATTAGCCCCAGGCAGTATGTTTGAGTCAGTTACTCAGCACGTTCTATTTCCTGTGGTTTTTATTTATTTATTTTGTAATTTTTATATTGTGACCGTATGTTTGATAAAGAGATGTAAAGGGTCTGGCACGGATTGGTCATTGAGCAATGATCCGAATCACTGATGACACTTTCACAGATTGTGTCACAGTTTATCTCACCCATTTAAAAAACTAAAACAAACAAACCCATTTCCTGTTTTCCTGTGTGACGGTGCCTCCAAGGACATTTCTATGTTAGAAAAACCGCAACTCACTGCCTTTAGTGTAATTTTATACTCTGCTTATCAAATATTAGAGTATCATTTAACTATAAATCTATCAGGTCACACCTAGAGTGGGCATTTATTCAGTTTTGTTTCCCCTTTGTTGTATGTTGTATTGTAGTTGTTTTATTGATGGCAGACTACACTGGGCAGAGCAAAATGGGTTTGGCAAACCTCCAGGCCACTGGCAATCAATGGAGCAATATAACATTTGATCTGTTCCGTATTCTAATTTTGAATACGGTCCATTCATAACTTAAATTTCATTCTTTTGCTCAACCAATTAATCTCCCTTGAATTGCACTGTATAATGAACCCCCGAGGAAATTAGAACAGAGAGTGATGACTGATCCTACACCTCCCTGAATTCTGAGTATACAGTAATGTGTGTGTGTGTTTTGTTCCTATGGTCATTGACATGTCCTGCAGAAGCAATTAACTCTCATATTATAGTTGTTTTTGTTCGTTCTTCAAAACCTGTCTTGTTGCATTTCAGAGTCTCGGTGCGAGAAAGAAATGGATGTTAGTGGTTATGCTATGTGCCTCCCGAACCTTACCCGCCTGCAGACCTTTCCATTTATAGAACATAGGCCCATCTTTTGCATAGAAATTAAGGTAAGTTGCCCTGTATGGTATGTTTCCCCACTTATCCCAAATGAAAGATTCGGATGCTCAAGTACTGTGGTTCTAGCCCATTAAAGCTGGCGTATCCAAAGTTAATCTCCTTAGATGTTGTACAAGTCCCATGAACTTTGCCGGCTAGTGAGTGGCTCGGCATTACGTGGGATTTATTGTTTGCAGTAGGTTTTGAAAAATATCTTTGCATTTAATAAGTTAGATTACTTGCACATTTAAAGGAAAAATCCAAGCACTAAAACTACTGCAGTGCTTGTTCATGGTTATAGTGGCAGGAGTACAGAGAAAGCAGTGGTGGGCGTAACATCATGTGGCCATATGGTGGAACTAAATCCCCATATTTATTCTTAGATAGGCAATTTAGAAGCCTTCTTTATGTTGTATTTTTTGTAGTCTGAGTGCGCCGCAACTATTTTTGTCATAGTAGCAGGAGTGTCCTGGCACGCCTCCCTCTCCCCATTGTAAATAGTCACACAGTTAAGTATCTATTTGAATTCTTACCTTGGGTCTGCCATTCATGGTTTCCTTTATCTTCCCAGTCTTTGCAAGAGCTTGTAGCTCCGGTCTAACAGTTTACATTAGCTGAACAGTTTTTATACTTACATTGGGGTGGGTTACACTCCTGGCTCCGTAACCACTAGATCACGCTTTAGTTGTCATGCTGCTTGGTGTTTTTCTTTAAAATGACATGCTAAACACCAATACATCTTTAGCTTAATAAAGCAGTTTATCTGTATAGATCATGCCCTCTGCAGCATCCATGTTAAGTTCACTTCTGCTGGTTGCAACTCCTAAAACCTGCATACACACTTCCTGAAAAAGAGCTCACTTTTCAAGTTTCCTTTTTTGCACAGTGTGTTTAATTGGAACTTCTTATCTTCTGCTCTGTTAACTGTCTGCTAAAAACTTACAGCAGCCTCCTGTATGTGATTGGGCTTCGGTAAACACACTGAGATGTAAAAATGAACCCTGCATAAACAAAGTGATTTAACTCCTAAATGGCAAATAATTAAGCGATCAGACTGCAGGGGCATGATCTATACACCAAAACTGCTTCATTAAGCTAAAGTTGCTATAGTGCTGCATGTTTCTTTTTTAACCATGTTTTTTTTGTTGTTTTTTTTTGTCTTTTTCCATTTTCTACCATCTTTGTGTATCACTTACATCATTTTTTGCCCTCCCTTTCTCTCACACACACATTTATTTATGGACTTATGTTTTCTCACCAGCCTAAATGTGGGTTTATACCAACATCTCCACATATCACAAAGGAGATCAAGAAGAAAGTGTGTCGGTTCTGCATGCACCAGCACCTGAAGGTAAGGAGTGCTACTCACACCCCTGCATATATTGTGAGTCTTTTCTGATTAATAGGGGTCATTTATTTTATTAGCCGGCAACTGGTTAAAAAAACAAACAAAAAACTTCTACTTTACAATTTGCTATGTGGTACAATGCTGTATACCACACTCTAACAATGAATGAATCCCAATTTACATTCAGTCCGGTTAGTTTCTCACAAGTTAGACTTATAACTGAACTGTTAGGCAACCAAAGCAATGCAGGGGTTACTGGATAAAGTGTTAGATAGTGGGCATGAGGAAGCACCATAATGTATTAGGCATTGCGCCATTATTTTTAAATTGGAATGTAACTTTTATTATGTCATGTATTTTAAGACACAGATTTTCTTTTTTCTTTTGGTGTTGATCTATTTACAATTATCTACAGTTGCAATGTGAGGGATATACTTAAACCAGTCCAAGGTTTCCCAAAATCATTAAAGAAAAATGTAAAAACCATTTGAGTTACAGCGGATTTGTTGTGTAAATATGGTGTTCATCCCTGAATTTGTCTTTCGTGAATACCCATGTAAGATTGAAAAGTCTTGCTCACATTTCAGATGGCTACTGTTTTGCTTAGTGAATAGGCTTATAGATTAGGGGCAAATTGTGCTGGTGAAACAGAATGTTCTGGTTTATTGAGAGGTTAAAATTTTGCATAATGCTGCAAGACATCGCATATTGTTCTGTTATCCTTTCATTTCCATATTACACAGGAAATGGGATGTTTTGCATAGAACATAGAATAGTTTTTGATAACATTTGTCTCTAAGATCATGTCTAGTGGCCATCACTCAGACTGCCTATTCTAAAAGGAGGCACCTCCAGTGGCCACTTGGTTCACTGTCCTTGTCCTCAGCATTAAGACTTTGAACACTGCCATGGAAATGAGTTGGTATAATGCATCTCTCGGAGGAGATGCTGATTTAGTACAATGATTGCTACACATGTGCAGTAGGCTCTATGGAGAAGCATTGGATTGGCTAGGTTATTCCACAATAATGATCTCTGCTGGGGAGGAGCTGTGGTTGTTGTAAGAGCTTAAAGTAGTAAAACTACTTATCTTTTAAACTGCAGGAAATAACTTAGAAATACAGGTTTGTATTTGTAACATGAGTTTCCCATGTTAACATTGTTACAATGTTACCTTAACATTTAATAAAAATAAAATTAAAAGGATGTTGTGTTGTCCCATTAGTGTCCCTCCCCTCCCCACTTATAGACAATGCAGGATATTTGTGAAAGCTGTGATCATTTGTTATTTAGCAACACAACTTTTTAATTCTATTAAAAGGAATACTCATAATTTTGTAATGAGCTAAAATAAATTACATTACTGAAAGAATCTGTGTTTATTGCGTAGTGTGTGTGTGTGTGTGTATACACATTACAATCTTTTAAAAGTCCTCTTTGGTTAGAATCACTGCTTATCTGACTGATGGCTGTGTAGGTAATCAAGAGGTAGTTTAGGTATGTGAACCCTGACATTGTCAAATGTCAAATTCCTGGCTTCTAAATAAAGTGTACCTTGTTACTATTGCAGATGTTCAAAGTTGCATGGTCATAGCAGAAAGGTGGTCTTTCTGAGTAAATGAAACAAAATTTCCTTTCACTTGATTTTATTGTGCAGCTTTTCTTTACATGTGCTTTCAATGGTTTCTGGCCATGATTGTGTTGATTGTTTACTTGATGCTTTCAGCCAATCGAAATAAAGCATTAATTTTAAATGGGTTTGTGTCTTATATCCACCTGCCTAAATTGTATAGCTGGAAAATCCAATAACCTCTATGTGTATATTTTGACTGTTTCTATCTTTGAAATTTTAAATAGTTTTACATAAGGCCTTACTGACAATTTCAATAACAGTGGTTTCTATACTATACTTTACAGTTCAAACCATTGCAAGTGTGAGGTTAGACTAAAGTCCTAGATACAATATAGTGCCTGATATGGCTATATAGATTTGAAGGAGACGTTGGTGCTGTCACTACCTGCTCTCCTGTCTACTATTCCATTACCATTCGATTGTCTCTTTATAATGGCCTTTAATCGTATTTGATTTGCATCTTCTTTGTAGGCTTAATAAATCTAGGTCTGTATTTCCTCCCACCACCAAAGGCTCTAAACAAAGCAGTGATAAAAGAAAGCTTCCAATAAAGATGACGTCATGGCCCTGGATTACGGGAGATGTCTCTTCAAATACCCATTCTAAATCCTTCTCTTTGAATGTATCACTGGAGCCAGTGGCCCATTGACCCAATCTGCTGAGTGGGCAGTTTCATTCATTCAGCATTTAGTGAAAACATGTTTGAAATTTCAGTGTTAGGAATGAAAAGCTGATAAGGCATCTTTTTCTCCTTCTCCATTATTGTAAATAGCCATAAACTGGCCATACTTCATGTGAACGTTTGAACTACAGGAAATGCCTCCCGATGTTATTGTACTAAAGCGTTATCCCTCCGGCCTTGCCACCAGGTTCTGATCACTGGCTGTGGGAGTTGAGTTCTAGCTTGTATGGAAGGGTTCATTGATTCCATGTGATGTGATGCAACACAAACCCTTTACTCACATCATGTTTGCTAAAGTTATTTTTTTGCCAGGAGTTCTACCTTGTACAGCAAAGGGTGTAGTCAGATATTTTAACATTGCATGGTAACATTGTTGCTTGAGACACACCTACAAATAAAACATTTTTTAATTATATAATGTTTATTATAGGCCTGTGTTACCCCGTAACAATTATTGTAGGTGGTGTGGATACATTTTCACAGCAAATGGTGGCATTAATTAACCGCATTTAGTATTCACACCGTGCTGGCATTCACTGGTGTGTGTATATATATGAATTGGTCTTCTTACTCTCACCTTGTTTAACTGCGTGAGAGGACTGTTTGCTGGGAAGTCAGGAGTGAGTAGTTGGCGGTATAATTGAGTAGATATAAGTGATTGGTAGGTTAGGTCCAAAATTACGAATGCAACTGTAATTTAAAATACCAAAAACAATTAAATTCACTGCTTAATAAACTTGGGTATTGTGGAAGGCAGTTGACTATTGCATGTTACAAGGATGCCAAGTATGATATATGGTAAAGTGGCAATTTGAAAAATGTTTAAATATCTGTAGTATAATACCACTGGACAATGGATTATTGATCATACATACAATATGTCTAGTAAAATAATTTTCCATATATATTCTTATATATGCCCAGTTACAGTTTATGTTTTTAAAGTCATGTTGGTGAGGTACACCATACGTTTTGAGCTATGTTTAGCTGCAGTGATATAGGTTGAAAAACAAATGACTCGAGGTTCAACCATTCACACCCCTCCTTGTTCCTGCTGTTGAGCCAAAAGAAAATAAAAACACAATCCAATTCTTTATTTAATTAACATGCTATTACCTTTTCTATATCCCTGAATATCCTGTTCTGCCATCAAAGTATCTAGAACAAACCGCCTTTTTATTACTGGATCTGGTAAACAAAATATCTAGGCAGAAAATGTTGAATCTTTATTGTTCTTACTGTAAAAAAAACACACACCACAAGCCTTTCCTCTGCTCTGGGCACATTTTTTGTTAAAGTCTCAATGAGTCTCTCAATTATTTATATAAGCATTTATATAAAATTCTTTTTTTTTTTTTTTTTTTTTATACTAAAATTAACAAACGCAGCTCTTTTTTTCAAAGCTAACCAAATTCTAAGCAACATTGTTTAAAAAAGAAAGTACCCCTTACTTTTTTGTATGTTTTGAATGACACACAGGCTTGTCTTTTATGAACAAATATGAAACATGTAGGCGAGCCGAGTGAGAGAGGAAGTTACCCCTGACCAAACCATGAAATCTATGCAAATATGCTTGTAGTCTTTAATTGCAACGCAACACAATCCCAGCTATGAAGGGGTTTACATTTGCAGTTGCAGTGTTTACAGTACTGCCAAAATAAAGTCGCTAAAACAGCCATATTGGGTTTCTAGCAGATGACTCCTATTACACAATGAAGGCTGCATTTGCCCATTATGCATTTTCCCATGTCCTGGCTCTGGTAGTACACAAGATGGCTGCTCACTTTATTATCCATAATGTGGTTACATTTCAGAGGATTGTGCCTAAATGCATACCTCTAAAAAGAAGTGTAGTAAACCTGAATTTGTTTTATGAATCTTGTACAATAGTCCTGCCGATGGGATTTACCAGCAGTAAAAAGAGTTTGGCTTGTATCTCAAGGTAAATGTGTTTGTTTTTTTGTTGTTGTTGATGTTTTTTTGGTATGGTTCGGTTAACTATAACTTAACACTATTTCTTTCTCTGCATATCTTAGGTTGCAAAGGGAAAATGGAAGCGGATCAGTAAATATTGTCCACTGGATCTATTCTCAGGGTGAGTGTTTTTTATTTTTCTGTTTCTTTTAACACTTTAATATATGTTCTGGTGAGAGCCTGTTATTTATTGGGTTATCTTTTCAATAACTGTAGCTTCACCTTTGCTTTGTAATGGCTAGCAGTATTAAATTCTTGCCCCTGGATTATAAAGGGTGGACTTGCTGTTAGATAAATTGGTATCGCAAACATTTGGTGATTCATTCAGATCTCATTACTTAACCTGCTTGCTTAGCAGAATCCAAACACTTGGTTACCAGGTAAACGTACCATTCCCAACACGTATGGGGTATGTATCATGTGAACCCAGTGTCATTGCTATGATGGTTATCATTCTCACTAAAGAACATTCCGCTTATATAGGTTTAAAAAGTTTCCATTTCCAAAAGAAATTATCTTGTTTATGTATAGAGATTACCCTCTGGAAAACATTTAGCTGTGCCAAAATAGGAAAGTGATTTGTTTAAAAGTCACATTTTTTTGTAAAACACTTTATTGTAAAGGAAGTCCACACCTTCCTGCATCTGGCGTTGTAATGCACAAAAAGTCACAATGTGAGAATGAAGTCCTTTTTGATAACTGTTTCAATTATTTCACATTTTGTTCATGGGTATTAAGACATTTCAGACATCTGTGCAGTGTTTTTTTTTTTTTTTTTCACTACAAATAACTTATTCTTCTCTTCTCCAGAAATAAAAGGAGGATGCACTTTGCCTTAATGAGTCTCTTGCAGGAGTCGCAAAACAACCTTAAAGTATTTAAGGTAAGTGGCTTTTTTTTTTTAAAGCTTGCCATCTTATTTTTTAGTTTTCCTTGTCATGCACAAAGCCTAGACACATGACTAGTGAATGGAGGTCCAAACTGGCTAACCCCTCTGTGTACACATTGCTGTGGCCATCCCCTGTATTTTTCAGTATTATTGTTTGTTTGAGGTGGCTGTAAGTATCTTCAGTGCTTGTTCTACAGATAGTGGCTAAATAGCTACTTTATGCATGTCTCATTATTTCACTATTTATATTTGAGAGCCAAGTACACACAAAGCAAGCATATCAGAGGAAAGCATTGTCTTCAATAACTTAACACAAGAGTGTACAAAATCAACCCCGCCACTCGTTTTTGCCACCAGTTGATTTTGTACACTTTGCATGATAGTGTGTTGAGCTTGAGAAATACCTACACTTGTCTGGTAGCAGTTTCTGTATTTGCATTTTGTAAATTCTTAAGGATCTGTGATATTGTCCATGATTTAAATGACAGCCAGTGGAGTAAGAGACTATTTATAAATTAATATTTATTCCAATGCAAAACCTGCTTGCCAGCCTAGATACCAGAAGCATTCAGTGATACTGGGCGATGGTTTTGTTTGTAGCAATATTTAACCCCCTGTATCTTCCTTTCAGAACGGTGAATTAATATATGGCTGTAGGGACGACCAGGAGCATCAGTCAGATCTAAATGAGCTTGCTCACCACCTGAAGCCATTTTTCTTTCCCACCAACGGATTGGTGAATGGACCTCAAAGCACAATGAACATATTGAAAGAGCTCATCCAAGTCCTAACAAACACATTGCTAACCACCAGTGCGGATTCAGGCAGATCAGAAAGCTTCAAGTCTGTTCCCATACCTCAAAGCAGAAATTACTGTGAGTCTGGCCATGTTTGCACAGAGCTCCTGAGAATCAGTAAGTACTTTAAAGGGAAAGTCTAGGTTAAGAAAATACATACATGTTGAACGCATTTGTACAAGGCAGTAAAAGTAACGTAAAAAGATGGGCATTTAATTTTATCAAAATTATGTTCTTAAGTCCCTAAAATTCTACCTGTTCTGAAGCCAAGCTTATCTCAGCAGTACCTTCCTTGTTATGCTGTCCAATAAAATGTTTCTCATAGAGAAGAATTGTGAGCACATTTGGAAGCTAAGAAAATGATGGTAAATCATACTTAACATTAAATACTGGGTGTTTTTACATATTGCTTGAATAAAATACAATATTCAGTTTGTGCAGGATTAGATCCCGAAAGTGCTTCTCAGGCAATGCTACGGGTTTAGAAGAATTCTTGTTTCTACCTCCGCAGTTTCAACTGGTGTGTGTGTTTATTTTTTTTTTTTAAGCTTTGTATAATGACACACAGGTGGTTTAACTTTGCACTTACAGGCAGGTAACAGACCAGGAGATAAAAACATCTAAAGTAAATACACGCTGCTAATGGATGGGCTGCTGTTGACTCTTGTTTAGCATTAAACCATGAAATATTATTTAATTCTGAATGGAAGGGCAGAGCCAGGGGACTTCAGACACAATAACCTCTTCTTCAATGAGATGAAGCAGTTACAGTGGCTACAGTGTCCTTTTAACACGAGCACTTAATATGAACAGAGAATGATACAAGTAGATGGGGAGCTATGTGCAAAGGGATCTGCATTCCCTCACAGTACACACAGGTACAATCCATGGGGTACACAGCTCAGGTGCTATATAATGTATTGGAAGATACACGAAAACAGGGCTCTCATCTCAAGCACAACCAGTAAATTAGCTGGAAGTATGTCCATAAAATAGCCTCTACTTTAACAGTAACCATTAACCCCTGCAGTGCTTTAACACTAATCTTAACCTAAATATGACATATATATATATAAATATATTAGTTGTTAACCTTATTTCTCTCACTGATAATCTGCATTACAGAGTGCATCCCACTGCTTGCTCCATCCTGGTTTCAAATATATCATAGGAATGGTCTTTTCTCTGTAAATCACACCATAAAAAAACACACTGATCGTCTATAACTTGTTACTCCTTATTCCTGTGATGCTCTGTTTTTTTTATTAAATATTTTGTAGATTATGACATAATCTTGTTCAGTCCAGGCACACGGTAAACATTATAAGAGGAGACACTAAACACAGATTTATCAAAGTGTTATGTTCTAAAAAGTGATCTAAAGTACTAACAGTGGCAAGCCATCACATGGAGCCAGCAGGCACGTTCCACTGGTGGCTCCTCCTATTTCACACATTTTTAGAATAAACACTGATCAATCTATATCTATGCATATTTTAACACATCACAAACATAATCAATCCTGGTTAAGTGACAGTTCTTCTTTAATAATGCCATTAAGAATGCTTCATGTACATTTCCATGCTGTATATGAACAAAATAGAAAAGGATGAAATTTGTACATTACTGGACTGGGAGTGAGTGTTTTATCTTTGGATTTAACACAAAGTATTCTAATAAACAGGAGGGGAATGCACACATAAACCAGAATCCACACCATGTCACAAGTCTTGGAATAAATCAGTCTTTTTGTCTGACTGGACAAAGACTCTGGTGTGAAGTCAAAATGTTATCTTTTGGCTAGATCCTATTAAAAGGCTGCTTTATTCCACTCCTCCTGTGCACAGACCATTCTTGCAATTTTACACAAAGTACTGCGAAAAACATCTTGGTGCTCAAATATAAATCAAATGAAATCAGTAAGAAATATAATTTCATGAATGCTTTGTTTTTTTTCTCCCGATAAATAACTTTTAAATTGTTCAGATTTGCTTCTGTTAATTTCGATGCCATCAAAGAAACAATTAAGTGATATGCTTATTTTAGTATACTAGATTCCCAAAATGACATGTTGACTGCTAAATATTGGCCTTCGCTATGGTTTTTATATTGCAATATTTTATCTTGCTTTATTTTTTTTCCTGCAGATAAACACAAAATAGAAACTGCGGGTTTGCCAAAAGGATCTATTCTATACAAAACCCTCCAGGCTCAGATGCTGGACATGCTGGATATTGAAGGACTGTACCCTCTGTATAAGAGAGTGGAGAAATATTTAGAAGAATGCCCAGAAGAAAGGTGAGCATCAACCAGAATATTTCATGTTATGTGGGCACCATGCTTTTGGGGTCTCTAAATATCCATCTAAAACGGTTTCATTATTTAGGGGTTTATTCACCTAAAAGCAATTTGTGGAGAATTGACAGAGAAATTACCTGTTTAAATAGCACTAGGAAAAGGTCTCAAAGTAATCTGCTTTGCCAGAACCACTACTTTGGCTTCGAATTTGCTATTCCTTGTCATTTTTCCATATGTTCCTTGAGTTGAAGTTACACAGAAAGGGAAAAAAAAAACCCCTCTAACTTTGTTCTGTGCACGTTGACTAACTTGTGCGCATAAAATGTTATTCTGCTGTTTACCACAAGGGGGCAGGAACGTTTCAACTGCATTACATTATAACTGAGTAGGTTTATAGTAAAAGAACACACTACAGTGTTTTTTTGTTTTGTTTGTTTGTTTTTTTGCAGAAGCACACTGCTCCTAGATGGACCTTATGATGAGACATTTTTTGAAAAATTAAAAGATCTTTCTACCGATGACAATGGCAGTGTGGAGTATGCTGTGACAAAGGTAACCAGATGCTGGCTTAAATGTTGCAGACTGATCCTGCAAAACAATGTTGCTTGTTCACAGCAGGCATGCGTTCAAATATTCCCTCGCCCACCTCTCCCATCCTCAACAGAGCAGTTTACAGGTTTTACACTGTAGGCACTGTAACTACTTCCATCTTATTGAATTGACTATAGTGCCTGCAGTCCTCTGGTGCCATCTCCCTTTTTTTTTTTTTAAAACTATATTTTAATTATATATGCTAAACAAGTGTCCCCAGCTGCCTATCCCTTCTGTGATGCTTGGGGAAGCATTAACTGGAGCAGCAGTGGGCAGCTGTGATTGGCTGAGCAGCTGACGCTTACAGCCGATTACAGCTGCCAATTGCAGGTAGGCCGTTGTATGGCCAGAAGAACATATATGTCTGCCTTAGCCATGCCTCTAGTAAGGTTTGGGCTATGGCTCGCCAGGGGCCGTCATTCAGTGTTAAACTGCTCAAAAACGGTTTAACACTGAATCAGGGACTTGGTTAGAGGACTCAAGGCACTATAACCAGTTCCATGAGATTGAATTGGAATAATGTATATTTTGTTGCTTTTAAATGGTCCAGTTCATTGATACCTTCATATTAATTGAAGAAACGTCTGCTTTCTATTTCTGGATTAGTGACGTCGCCAGGACGTACTTGGAATCCAGAGTAATCTGAACATACCTTTCCTGGTTAAATACTTTGTTAAATAAATTTTGACAAAGTTTTAGAGTGGTTTTACAGTGGTAGTTAAAGCCCTTGTTTTAAAAAGTCACGTGTGATCGCTTTTTTGTAGGAATGTTTAAACGTAATTGTGCTTGTACAACATTTTACTGCATTTCTCCACTAGGAACAAATGCCATGTTATAAGTTACGTTTCTGATCTCAAGAACCTCTGTATACCAAAGTGCTGCTATGCAATAATAAAATAAGAATATAATTTACTATTATTTCAATTGCTTTTTTTAAGAGTGCTCTAGCTAATAATGTAAAGTGAGTGCACTATTAATGCAATATTAGGTTTTGCAATTTGTAATTGTACTGTAAAAAGTATAACGTTACAGTGATGTCTCTTCTGCTTATCATATATGTGGTATCGTGACTAAATTCCTTCCGTACACATTTGTCTCCCCCTTTTCATTAAAGATTCAGCAATATAGAGTAGCAATGACTGCCAAAGACTGCTCCATCATGATCGCACTCTCCCCTACCATGCAGGAGGATTGGTAAGATAATGCCCTCCCATGCAATAGTTTTCACATTAAAGCAAGTATGAGTCTTGAAAGTCAGATCCTTCGATCCACCACTTTGTGATGATGGCTGTCTATGATGCGCCTTTTAATACATAAGAAACAGCCCACGGTTTATAAGCACATCCAGTTTGCGCAGAGTTGTATGTATTGGTTTTCTAAGTACAGTTAGTGAATTAATCACATGGTACCGAGGGACAGCTATGCCAATGGAATGTGTAATGTAGCCCAGGGTTTGTTACTGCCTATATTGGTACAGTGACATGCTCACAAATAGCTGGTGATGAATGGAAATCGTGAGCCCTGGCAAATATTTCTGCCACTGTCTAGAGTTGTTGGTTTTGTGATATATATATGTGTGTGTGTGTATGTATATGTGTGTGTGTATGTATGTGTGTGTGTGTATGTATGTGTGTGTGTATATATTCTGTGCTAAATAATCAAGAGAGGATTCAAAAGTGCCAAATAGATGGTTTAAAAAATAATAATGCACCAATGTATAAAGGATGGAGCAACCGTTTAAAACTGGCGTATTAAAACAAAACATGTGCATGAAGTGACCATGTGTGTGTATATATAACTCCCAATGTAATCCTTCTTAAATGACTTTATCTAATCTAGCCACCCACCATTCCAGCAAATGATTGTAAGCACCAATGAGCAGTGGCCTTCATACAAACTGTGCTCATTTGTAATATTTCATTTATGACTGGAATTTTCCATTGCATGTGTCCAGATCTGTTCCAATATAGCATCTGGCCTCCCTGCTTTTCTTTTCTACCCATATTTCCCCTCTTTAGTAAATTGATTGGTTTGTAGGTACACAATAATATATATTACTGTGCAATTTCCCTGCATTAAATCATGTTAGGCAAGTATGTTTCTGACCAATGTTGTTTAACACCATATTTCCATTTGCTTGTTTCAGCTATGATCAGAGATCTGTTATTAAGACTGCAAGGTCAAGCTTCAAGTATTCCGTTTCCATCCTAGACCTAGACCTCAAGCCGTATGAAAGTATTCCACACCAGTACAAACGGGACAGTAAAATAGTAAGCCACTACCTCAATCACGAAGAAGCAGCCCCGTCGCCTATCTTCAAGGAAACAGAGGACTGCACTCTGCTCTTGCATAAAGTAACCCATTAACAGGAACCAACATATTTACTTGAGCTGTGAATGCTTCTCCATGTTCCCTGTAGTTTGTGGGGAGCTTGCAGTGCACACATGTCCCTATCTGCTCTCTTGATTGTCTGCACATCTCACACTAGGTACACTGAGATGTATGTTGCAGTCACTAAAACCGTTCAGAGGCCGTTTATATCTTACGGGATAGTGCAAAGTCCGCCTTGCCAGGCTGTTGCACGAAGGTTAGCTACAATATTTAAAAGAAGGAAACCCCCCCCCCCCAAAAAAAAAACAACTTTATTTTGAAAAGCTAGGAGACTATAATGTTTTTATATGAAGCTGGACAAGCGGTGTAATGAAATAAACTTGCCCCTTTGCAACTCTATGCTGCTTTTATCTTGCGTGCCTGATGAGGTTTGGGTATACCTCTCACTGAGCCTTATATAACGGATTGTGCGGTTTTTGACTAAGGTTTTTAACTAGTCACGTTTAATGGCATATCTGCAACTTTTTGCTCTATTTGCAGTATGGTTTATTGTCAGTTTTCTGTTTTTTAGAAAAAGAATGGTGGATGTCTACTATAAAGGCATCTGTTACAGAGTTGGTTTTTGCATTAGTTGATCACTAATTTATTGCAGTATAACTGTGGGGCTGGTTGGTGAAACAAGACCAGTTTACTTTAAAGTAATTACATATTACTGTAAAGAGTGCACACAAAAAGCCAAACATGGACAGAAGAACCCTTGCACACACATGTGGTAAAAAACCCAGTGCATTATGTGGCCCTTTAGAGAAAATAAATGTTTTAAGAGCCTTTTTATTGGTTATTGTCTAAATAGAATAGTGTGCATTTCTGGTACATCCCTGTAATCTATGGACATCTACAAGAGATTATTCGGTAGAAATTAGTAGAACGCATTGTTGTAAAATATCCTTCCTACAGGTGTTTTCCTGAAGCAATAGCTTTGTACTACACTTCTATTTTTATTTGTAATTTTGCCCTGGATTTTCCTACAGTTTACTTCTTCATAGAAATATTAGAATATATGTTGGTTTTCAGCACCACAGGACCCCTTTTGAGGATGTGTTAAATATGTAAAAGGAAGTTAAAGTCCTTAAAATATTTTACTATTCACTGCAACATGTTTTACTGTCTAATTGAGCAATTGTTTCTTTAAACTGCATGCTGTTACTGAATTGTGACATAAATGGTGCTAATGTGCTGTAAGCAGAGACCACATAAAGGAACACTAAAGGTCACCAAAATAACTTTATCTATGCACCCAAAACGCCTCATTAAGCTAATGTCTCTGAAGTCTCACTGCTCAATTCATTGCCATTTAGGATTAAATCACTTTTGTTTCTGTTTATGCAGCCCTGTTCAAACCTCCCCTGGCTGTGACTGACCTAGCCTGCGTACAAATATAAATAAAAAATCACTTTCAATTAGATAGTAACTTACTTTAAATGTTTTAATCTCTTGCTCTCTGAATTGAACTTTAATCTCATACAGGAGGCTTGCTGCAGGGTCTAGCACGGTAACAGAACAGAAGGTACAAAATTCCAAATTAAACAGAATTTGTAATAAAGGTAGTATAAACATTGGATGACTCTTAAGTGTTTATGAAGGCTGTGTAAGACACATACAGGGAAGTGTGACTAGGGCTGCATAAACCAAGTGATTTAACTCCTAAATGGCAGAGAATTGAGCAGTAAGACTGCAAGGGCATGATCTGTAAACCAAAACGTCTTCATTAAGATAAAGTTGTTTTGGTGTCTATAATGTCCCTTTAAATTTCCATTTTGTACAAACTAGCCATGATCATTAATTGTATGGTCGCTGCTATTGGCAGTGTAGAAAAAGGAATTTGAAAATGTCTATATGAAATATATATTCTTATCCTGTACAGATCGTGTTGATGGATGGCACACAATGTTTAGTTTTGTTTTTTTCAATCTTTTTCTCCACTTTCTCACTGTGTTATCTGATTCTACTCATAAGATGATAGTTTCCATGTCTGCAAATGTTGGTGATGCCTATTTGCATCTACAGATCATGCTGCAGTTCTGCAATATTGTTAGAGAATTTTTTTTTTTATTACCCTGTGAATACAAAATCCTCAGATTGTCTTGCACAGTATTTTCAGTACTATGTATATGTTGGTGAAGTTTCTCTAGTGATCGATAAGACACATTTGAACTCCCCACTTGGCGTGTTTAAAGAGTTACTAGAAAGTGTTCCGTTTTAAAATTTCCATTACTGTAATATATGGGATTTTTTAATTTAATTTTAAATAATCGTATAGAACTCCACAAAGCTATACAATACAAACTACCAAGTTATCTTGCAGGTGTTTTGTGGATTTTAATTGTGCAATTTACAGTTGCAGTCCAAACTGATGGTATAAAATGAATAATACTATAACCAGATAACCATAGGGAGTGGGTTAAAGGGAAACTATAGACTAGGAACACAAAATTATATTCCTAGCCTATAATGCCACCCCTTGCTCACTTGCCCGCCCCTGCTGTGAACAAAGGGTTTAAAAAAAACCAAAAAACTTTTGTCCCACATTTTTAGGTCCCGTTTAATGACTCCATTCTAGCAGCTAGTAAGGGGAACGCATGAGTGCTTGGAGGGCACTGAGACTACAGTCACGGCCTGTAGTACTCTGTATAGTACATGCTTACTCCACGCAGGCATTCTAGCAACATTTTAAGGAAACTGAAGTTTATGTATAGAAAACTGTAACATTCACTTTCAATTTGTGTCCGTTACAGCGGCGTTCATACCGCGGTCACAGCTGCGACCGGGCCCGGCTGCCCTGTGACTGGGTACCTGCCTCCATCTTTTGCGGCCGCCGTCCAAGGGGTCCATCAGGTGGCCCATGCTGTCAGGGCCACTCGATGCATATGGATTGTCTGGGGGACCGGTCAGCGCTGGGCGCTTTAACAGTGCGACCGGGCCCCTGTGATGAGATCACTGCTGGGAGGAAGTGACTGCACGTCACTCGTCCCAGCATACAGAGAGCTGCGCAGGAGGAAGGAGTCAGAGTGGGAACTCTGACTCCCATCAACCCGAGCCACCACAGGGAATGTCACCCTCCTGCACCTAAAAGGGAGGAAACAGGAGGGTGACTAAAATATTTTGTGTGTGTTTGTATGTATGCGGGTCTATCTGTATGTATGTATGTGCCAGTCTGTATGTATGTATGTATGACTTCCTGACAGCCACTAGGGGATTTTCCCTATAAGAACAGTCAGATTTTGTTCTCAATCGCCTCTATTCCTAGAGCATTTGATTGGTGCATTGTGTCTATTTGCTGAATATGCACACTAGCTTCCCAATGTGTCCCTATGATTATCTCATCCAGGGAGGGCAAAGGAAGATAATACACGCTTTTCAAACACTTCCTGGGGGCGACACCCACGTCGGTAGTGGAACACATAGCGTTAGGAATACAAACACATGTTCGTAACACTATAGTATTTCTTTAATGTTCAGAATTACTTTTGCCACAATCTCATAATTAATATCCAGCCAAGATACACGGAAGAACACACTTTAATGATCATCACTTTCCTACAACCAAGGACCATTTTCTAACTTTCCTTTAATAGGATGGTAGAAAAATCGCAAAGGGTTGGGGAAGAGGATGGGCGTTTCAGGTCCAAACATCTGTCACACGTATGGAATGCAGCATTGGCTGAAACATGCATGTTCTCTGTAAGATCTAACGTACACAAACAGCTGGCACTAGTGTGTGTATATATAAGTAGTTCCACTAGGTAAGTGGTTCTAAACCCAGTGCTAAAGGCACGTCAGCATCCCTATAGGAACATAATTGGGAAATTACTAAATGAAGGGATGTTTTGAAGACTGGGTTATGAACTACTGGACAAGGCTTACCAGAAAGGTGTGATACCCTGTTCTGCAACAGAACAAGATATGATAGCGCTTTAAATTAAATGTAGATTGTTATACCAAAGTATACATCTGTATAGTACTTCTAGTGCATGTTCTTGCCTGTATTGGCATTGAGTGAATTTGTTTTTAAACGTCTAAAGATCTGTCAGCCTGTTTGCTTGTTTTACTTTCTCTATTCCCCCCCCAACACAGGAACATATTTTTTTTTCTTCTTATAGTACCCTTGAGCCAACCTTCAGCAACAGAAATTTGTATAGAATTTATATTCCACTCACTTTCTGTAAATTCATATTTAATGGATGTATTTATATATATATATATATGTAATTTATTGTGAGATTGAACATGTGCCATGCATATTGTACATAGAGCATGAGTTTATAAATGGGAAATGACAATATTTATATTCAATAAAAGATTAAGACTTAAACTGCTTGGGGTAATTATTCAAAAACCTTGTCTATTTCAGTTTTCACACCTTCAAATCAGCACAGTTTTTTTATTTTTTTATTCCCAGTTTCCAGTTTGGCAGAAAACCTGAATGATGTTCTCAATGGAGCTTTCAATTCCAAAGGACTGGAGTAGATTTTTGAAGCCTTTAGCAGCACCTTCAATGACCTGTAGTTTATCCAGGGCTAATGCTGTGGAAGAAATTTCAGTATGAGATTTTAAATATTGTTCACTCCATCCCGAGTGCAGAGAGACATCTACCTTATTAAAAAGGAAAAAAACTCAAGCATCGTTGAAATAAGCAGAATTGAAGATCAGTTGTTCCTACAAATGCTTTTTTTTTTTTTGTCTGAGGATGAAGGCAGGATTCTTGCCTTTTGGTTTTAATAGATTCTTTCATCAGTCATAGGCCTCTATTTAATATTTTTGGATAAGCGTTTCAAATGATTTAAGATTTTAAAAAACAGTTTAAAGTGAAACTAAGGTAAAAATGAACTTGCCCCCACCATACATTATGTATCATAAAGATACATAATGTATTCAATGTAAAAATAGACTTACTACGCCATGAGTGCTACTCGCTTCTTTGATTTGCCTTATGTTATGGGAGGAGAAGTAATAAAAGGATAGTGAGATATAGGACAGAGAAGAATCATATAGTTACAAGATGAGGAGAGTTCCAAGTTGCGATTGGCAGGAGGTAAGCAAGGCAGAAGGACTGAAAGCAGCCAGGCAGCGCCCGACACCTCCACTCCCGTTTTAACATTTTTAAATAGGGAATTCTCCCAGATCTGCTATCAAAATGAATATATATATATATATATATATATATATATATATATATATATATATATATATATATATATATATATATATATATATATATATATATAATAATATAAAAAATTTTTTTTTTTTTTTATAAAAAGTAAGTGGTTTGGGTTTTTTTTTTTTTCTCTCTCTCTCATATTAAATTGAGGCCATTTAAATTGAGGGCTTTTTGAAGTTTCAAATAGTATGGAGAAGGGACCTCCTATTAACAAATGGAACCTTTACGCTGGTAGCTTCCGTTGGCTGTCCTGAGCTAAACCATGCAGTGAGGGGCAGCTAAAAACTGGGCTAGCTCAGAACAGAGAACTATAAGCTTTCAATGGAGGTGATTGATGACTTACCTGAGGACTAATTATAAAGGTGAGGGGGTCAGCCATGCCTCTCATGTACCATAATTAATACAGTGTACTTGTGGTTACAGTGCTTAGAATGATTAATGCATGGTGAATAGAAATGTCGCAAACGGTTCGCCGCGAACTCCGGTCAGCTGACACATCCCGGCCAATCTCCGGCAGACCCTCCCTCCCAGACCCTCCTACTTCCTGGACAGCATCCATGTTGAAGGCAGCTTCAACATGGATGCTGTCCAGGAGGAGGGAGGGTCTGCCGGAGATTGGCCGGGATGTGTCAGCTCACTGGAGTTCGCCGCGGACGGTTCGCGACATCTCTAATGGTGAGGTGTTTTGTTGAGGGTCTGGCTTGTTGCCTACAATGTATGCATGTATGGGTCATTTTAATGGATTGGCTGCACTTGCCCACAATGTTCCTCCCCAAACATTTTTTTCAAACACTGGTAACTACTCTGTTGTAATTAGATTATGCACCCCCTACAACTCCTGAAATGTTTACAGATTATACCAGTATTTTGCAATCCAAAGTATATTGAGTATCAGATACCAACTTTACAGTAACCCATTGTGAAACAGAGTTTGCAATGAGCTCACTGAGGGGAAAAAAAATCAAGATAAGATGTTTTGTACTTTTTTACCTTGCTCTGGCATTTTGGGTAATAAATCCAAGATTGGTGTTACTGTTCCTTCCTCATCTATTTTGATGTTCCAGACAAGCAGCAGTTCACACCTGTGATAAGACAAAAGGATTTATTTAAATAACAAGGACACCACTCTAAATGATGGACTAAAATACAAGGGTGATATTCAGGTTACTGGGAATTATGTGAATAGGTGGATTGCAATTAATAGGTCAAAATAGAGTAGAAACTCGCTAGTTTGCCTTCAAATGTCCAATTCTCAATTTAGTGAGCAACCCCTTAGGTCAGGGCTCAACAAATGTTTGTTGCAATAAAACGTCTTGCCAGACATCGCTTAACTTTTGAGAGTGATTCTAGATGTATATGTAATGATACGGAGTCTGGGCCCCAGTTTAGACTTTTATCAAACGAATATGTAAAGTTATCAAATGCCCATTTCCATATTCTTTTAACCCCTTAAGGACGGAGCCAAATGTACACGTTGTGAACAAAACAAAATGTAAACAAAACCTGGCATTTGCGCTACATGTCTGTCCAACCATAATTCACCTCTTTCATAGTAAATGCACCCACCCTTATTATATATTTTATTCAGGGGAAACAGGGCTTTCATTTAATATCAAATATTTAGCTATGAAACATAATTTAATATGAAAAAAATGGGAGAAAATAAGATTTTATTTATTTAGTTCTACATGACATTTTAACTGTCAATGTCTTAATACTGTTTGCTTTTACTGCAATAAAATACACATATTTGTATTCAGCAAAGTCTCACGTGTAAAACAGTACCCCCTATGTACAGGTTGTATGGCGTTTTGGGAAGTTACCGGGTCAAATATAGAACGTTACATTTGAAATTGAAATTCGCCAGATTGGTTACGTTGCCTTTGAGACTTTATAGTAGCCCAGGAATGAAATTTACACCGATAATGGCATACCATTTGCAATAGTAGACAACCCAAGGTATTGCAAATGGGGTACGTCCAGTCTTTTTTAGTAGCCATTTGGTCACAAACACTGGCCAAAGTTAGCGTTAGTATTTGTATGTGAAAAATGCAAAAAACGCCAATTTTGGCCAGTGTTTGTGACTAAGTGGCTACTAAAAAAGACTGGACATACCCCGTTTGCAATACCTTGGGTTGTCTTCTTTTGCAAATGGTATGCCATCATAGGGGTAATTTCCATTCTTGGGCTACCATAGGGTCTCAAACCAATCTGGCAAATTTTAATGTGAAAAAAAAAATGAACTTTTTTATATAATTGTCTTAATACAACACACCATTCAGTTTCCAAAAACATCGTTCCTAACTCGTTATTCCAGGTGTTTAATATTTTAATAGTGTAACGGCACCCGCAGGCATAAAAGGGGTTAAAAGCCATTTAGTCGATCTTCCCCTTCGAGACACAGGCAGCTACTACAGAACACCCGAACTGCATACAAAGTAGCACTCCAAACTCCCAATTGGAACCCCACGAATAGCTGCTAGTAGATGAACAGGAAAGGCACCCAAGCGGCTTACACTCTTGGCAATCAGTCTCTAACCGCATACAGTATGTAGCGGAGAGCTGGTATTACACAGCCTATCTCCACTTTAGCTCCCAGGGAGGTTCAGGAACAAGCAATTATAAATCCATAGGGTAAAGTATCCAGCAGGCAAAATAACAGCAGTATCCCAACAGCAATCCCAATAACTGGACGACACACAGTATCAGGAGCAGAACTAAACATTTATTCAGACAGTGGCCTTATAAAGCCTGCTCCCATGCAAGGGACTGATTTCCATTAATTTGTACAGTAGCCAATCCTGCTCTGGTAACCTCCCACACATCTCCTCCCCTCAGCCTGCATCATAATCCCCTTATCCAGGACACCAATTCCCCCCGTTTCTGGATGTACCCCTAAAGCTAGGGGTACCACTTTAAATTATACATCCCCTGGTAGCCCTGATCCGGGTGAACAACATATCCAAAAATCACCCAGATCAGACCAGGGGTTCGGGGAAATTTATGGAGGGAATAAACTGACCGACCGCACTGGAAAGAACAGCCGAATGGGGTTCCATGCGATGGGGCCCTGCGGTCGGTCCTGGAGTAAGGGAACAAACTGCACGAAAGCCTCCAGCTACAGAGACTAAGGAGGGTTCGCCTGAATCCCCTTGTTCGGTTGTTTCTATCTACCGAACGTGGGGCCGTTCGGTAGTTTGGAACCGAACGGACCGGGCTTGTGGAGGTCTCAGCGGTGTTCGCCTAGTCGAGTGTCCGATTTGAGTTCCAGACACTCGACGGCAAAACACCGCTGTTCGGGAGTTTTAAAATGGCCGCCGCCACGTGTTCGTTTCCCGAATGGCGGCCACCCCCGAGAACAAAGGACTGCTACTCAGCTTGTCAATTACCCATTCGCAACAATGTTGCAACGGGTAATTGAAGGCACACTTCACACGGGAAGTCTGACTGTTCGGACGAATACAATACATTTAACACATATATAACTTTGCCATTTTACAAGAATGCATTCAAAACACATGTAATTCTCAGGACAGCCCAGTGCCATCCGCTACACAGTAAATCCCCCCCAAAACGAGACAAGGCTCAGTGTTGAGGGTCAAGCAGTGGCCTGGTTTATTGAGGGCTACCTGCCCAGAATTTATGCAGGTCTCCCACCTGGTGGACACTCCCCTAGGGGACCAAATGGGAGACTGTAACACAGATAGACATGTATCACATTCAGACACACAGAAGTAAAACATCCCCACAATGCATCCTAATTTCCCTCCCCTCTATCCTGGAGATAATTGGGAAGTAATCCAATTATCTCCCAGGACAGAGGCAAATCGCCATTACACACGTGGTTACAATAAAACACTAAAATACAATAAAATACATAATGTTACATTTATCACCAAATATATACATGTAACCCATCCCCAGATAGCTGGGATCTGAGTGCACAATTGTACCGAATAGTGCTCAGATCCTATACACACAGTTCAATTGCCATGGAGCCAAAGTCTTTGATTACACGAATAGGCTCCATGGCTGTGCTATCTGGATTAAAGCATTCACATAAAACAAAGTTCCAATGATCAGGTTTTCGGTTTAATAGCCACAAATAGAAGCAGGGAAGGCTGGAAGCTCAGCGGTGCCTGCACGTAAAAGTGTCCGCTTTTAGTGCACTGATTCCGTACTGAGCTCCGCTGGCCGTCCGGGGAGTTCCATAACACCGCCACCTAGCGGCCATTAAGTGGTCACCCAGTAATAGTTAATTAAACTGCGGTCAATTGACTGCACACGCTCGTTAAGCCGCGGTTAACCGCGGCTTCTGGGAGGTTAATTCGCGGCGCATGCCAACTTCTGGGCAGCCAATTAACAGCGCCTGCCGGCTCCCCACGGTTCTGGGGAGGCTGATAGAAGGCTGTTTGCGCGGTAGACTAAATCTACCAAACGGCATTATGTATGAATTTATAGTATTAATTCTGCCGAGCCATTAT